TTACTTTAAGACATGAAGGTCAGTCAATACGGAACATTTCAAGAACTTTGAAAGTTTCTTCAAGTGCAGTCGCAAAACCCATCAAGCCCTATGATGAAACTGGCTCTCAAGAGGACCGCCACAGGAAAGGAAGACCCAGAGTTACCTCTGCTGCAGAGGATAAGTTAATTAGAGTTACCAGCCTCAGAAATTGCAGCCCAAATAAATGCTTCACAGAGTTCAATAACCGACACATTTCAACATCAACTGTTCAGAGGAGACTGCGCGAATCAGGTCTTCATTGTCGAATTGCTGCAAAGAAACCACTACTAATGGACACCAATAAGAAGAAGAGACTTGCTTGGGCCAAGAAACACAAGCAATGGACATTAGACTGGTGGAAATGTGTCGTTTGGTTTGCAGTCCAAATTGGAGATTGTTGGTTCCAACCGCTGTGTCTTTGTGAGACGCGGTGTGGGTGAACGGATGATCTCCGCATGTGTATTTCCCACCGTAAAGCATGGAGGAGGAGGTGTTATGGTTTGAGGGTGCTTTGCTGGTAACACTGTCTGTGATTTATTTAGAATTCAAGGCACACTTAACCAGCATGGCCATCACAGCATTCTGCAGCGATACGCCATCCCATCTGGTTTGGGCTTAGTGGGAGTATCATTTGTTTTTCAACAGGACAATGACCCAACACACCTCCAGGCTGTTTAAGGGCGATTTTACCAAGAAGGAGAGTGATGGAGTGCTGCATCAGATGACCTGGCCTCCACAATCCCCAGACCTCAACCAAATTGAGATGGTTTGGGATGAGTCGGATGTCAGAGTGAAGGAAAAGCAGCCAACAAGTGATCAGCATATGTGGGAACTCCTTCATGACTGTTGGAAAAGCATTCCAGGTGAAGCTGGTTGAGAGAATGCCAAGCGTTTGCAAAGCTGTCATCAAGGTAAAGGGTGGCTATTTGAAGAATCTCAAATATAACATATATGTTGATTTGTTTAACACTTTTTTGGTTACTACATGATTCCATATGTGTTATTTCATAGTGAAGACATCAAAACTATTATTCAACAATGCAGAAAATAGTAAAAATAAAGAAAAACCCTTTAATGAGTAGGCGTTCTAAAACTTTTGACCGGTAGTGTATATTTAGAAGACATTGGTTGTCTTCCAAGACGGGAAGTTAAGGTAGGTTGAAAATTCTCTGTGCTATGCCAAATAGTACAGGGTTTTTTCTGGATCAAAAAGGGGCTTAGGTGGTGGGCGTGGCAGGGGGCGTGACAATGAACACAGTCAGCCTTCATGAGGTTACATATTAGAGACCTCATCTTGGCACTATAGAGACATTTTAGAATTCTACAAATTTCTCCATGGAGCTGAGATACATTTTTGCAGTTTTAAAGCTAATTTCCTGCAATTCTACACATTTTGCCATGCAGCAGAGAGACATTTTTGCAGTTTAAAGCTAATTTCCTGCGATTCTACATATTCTACCATGGAGCTGAGAGAAAAAATGTATGTTTTAAAGCTAGTTTCCTGCAATTCTATGCATTTTGCCATTGTTAATGCTGTGTTCTTTTGCTCAAACATAATAACAAAATGAATACTGCTAAATTAATTGTTTTGTGAATTTTTAAGTCTCCCCAACTGTCTAGCTTTTATTTTGGTGATTGTTAGTTCTCAAAGATTACGTTTTCATCCTGAAATTTTATTTTAAAAGTTTGGATTTAGGCGACCCGAAAAAACGCTTAGGCCCGCCCAAGGCTTACAATGGAAGAAAAACCCTGTAACTGCTAATGGAGCATCACATTAGCCTGTTACAATCTGCTAGCTAAACCTACTATTGATACAGGCAACATTTTAATGAAACGACTTGTTTTTCCCTTCTCTAAACCCTGTACAAACCACAAGCTCTTTGTCCATATCTGAACTTTTGAAGCAAGTAGACTATCTTTGGTGGTAATAAAAGTATGATAACGTAGCTATGTTCTCAGGGTGGTGTCAAGGATAAGTACACATGGTTACTTTGGAATATGAGATTTGCAGTTTTTGGTGTACATTGGTAAATATAATTATTATGCAAAGAAGTATGCACTGTAATTTTGCATAATATTTAAATTATGGTCCATAGGCAGCAATTCACATGAAGTACAGTAACCACACATTGTAATATGAATATATTTTGACACCACATAATTGGTTTAAGAGCATGCCTCAAAATATTATGATAAAATCGGGACCGACATTTGCAAAACAGCGCTGGTAGTAAATAGTGGGAAAACCCTCGCTGCTGACATGCAATGTGAAATTACTCACGTTGAGAACCATATGCATACTTCTATATTCACATTTTTGGATGTCCTAAAAAAAAAAAAAAATGACCCATATTTTAAACGAGCACGTGTTGAATTTATAAGTTGCATTTGAGCAATTTTGCAGTGGGCTACATTGCCACGTTCAGATAATACTATGGCCACTTCGCTAACGCTAGGCAGCCATATAGAGCTCGGGTTGCAGTCAGAGCTCGCTGTAGTTTGCTAGCTATATATGTTTACTTACTTTTGCATTGCAGCTCCACCATGGCCTGATACCATTCGTTCTGGTCCGCCTCGTTTTCTGCCGCGATGGCAAAGCTCTCCGCCCGGGTGTACAGCACTATCATGTGCTTGTTCTTCGCATCAGCCCGCTTATTGATGTTGAAACACGTCTCCAGCACCAGGGCTTTCTTTGGGACGGGTGTCTTTCCGCGGAATTTCTTCTCGCTCTCGTAGTATTCGAGCCGGGCCGGGCCCCTCACCGAGGCCGTCCGGAGGACGAAGTATCGCCGGTGCATGGATTTCTGCTTGCGGAGGTAGCCGCTCTTTCGAATGTCCTCGTAGCTTTGCGGGTCGGGTGTTTGGCACTCCATTGCGTTCGAGTTATCTTGTTTTTCTCAACTACAACCTAAACTTCTATTCAATGACAGCAAAAATATTTTCGCAAGTTAGCTAGCTAGATAATTCAAACATCATTCAGTCGCGTTCCCCTCCCTCCCTTTAACACATGTATGCAAGGGAGAGAGGTCCTCTAGTCCAGTCCAGTCTTTTAAAATATAAACTAAATATTCCCTTTCCTTTCTCGTTGCAGTACTGTGTCTGCTACTACTATTTAGCTAGCTAGCTGAGTGCTTTAATCCATTTACTGTATAGCTTGGCAGCTGTGTACTGAATACTTCGCTGCAACTGCTGCCCTCTCCACTCCTGTCCCCTCTCTATGGCGTGGAGCTAATGTGAATGAAAAGCTGTCAGTCAACGCTTGTCTGTAGTGACAGAAGAGGGCGAGAGACAGTGGATACAGAGAAGGAAAGAGAGAGAGAACATTGAGTTCAGTGCGAACATAAATCGAATTTCATATGCCGTTTGGTTCTCATAAGAATGCCTATGCCAGTGTTCTTCAGCCAATATTGTGAAACTTCCAACGTTATTTTGAAGATCATATGATGTGCTGCACGATTGAACGATTGTGACATTTTATAACCAGAAATGCAACCCTCATCAAATTGCATCCCGATGATAGAACGAACCTCTGAGCACAATTGGCTTGATTTAACTTTTCAGTTTAACCCTGTAACAGCTGTTGGTGCGATCGATTTAATTGTAATGGGAAAAATTGACATTGTTTAGGCATAATTACATGATTCAATCAAGGTCATGTGCATTTAAGATTGTTAATTGTATTATTTTAGTTACACATAGTTTGTCATAACGAGCAGCCAAATGAGTAATCTTTATTTCCGTTATTACATTGTACAACGTGTACAAAACATTAAGAACACCTTCCTAATATTGAGTTGCACTTTCCCCTTTTGCCCTCAAAACAGCCTCAATTCGTCGGGGCATGGACTCTACAAAGTGTCGAAAGCGTTCCACAAGGATGCTGGACCATGTTGACGCCAATGTTTCCCACAGTTCTTTCAAGTTGGCTGGATGTCCTTTGGGTGGTGGACCATTCTTGATGAGCGTGAAAAGCCCAGTAGCGATGTAGTTCTTGACACACTCAAACCTACTAGCAAAGGCACTTAAATCTTTTGAATGCTCTAAATGGCACATACACAATCCATGTCTCAAGGCTTACACATCCTTCTTTAACCTGTATCCTCCCCTTCTTCTACACTGATTGAAGTGTAATTTAGCAAGTGACATCAATAAGGTATCAAAGCTTTCACCTGGTCAGTCCATGTCATGGAGCAGGTGTTCTTAATGTTTTGTACACTCAGTGTATATGCCACATCATGGACAAGGCTAGAAAACTATGCAACATACGCCGCCTGGTGGTTGAATTGACCTATTTCAAGTTGTTACCAGGGACGTTTTAAAATAGGCTACCCATAATTGACTGAAAGCCAAAGGAAGCAATCGATTACTTGGGTAAATATTTGATGATCCCAATTATGTTTGTTACAAATGATGTATTATGAAAGATTTTCCCTCAGACACACACACACTAGACACTGTTTAAAGAAGCAACAGATATTATTTAAATGTATGAACATGGACAATTATCATTATAAATACTTTCTCAATAGAACTCTTGCAAACAAAAGAAAGAGATCAATTTCACCTCCATATTTTCACCCAAAAGAACAAGAAACATTTGGTCCACTACAGAGAGAAATAACACCGTTTTTGTTTTGAAAATAGCTTTTACATTCAGTAGTATCTCCTCTTGCAGACCTCCAAGCGCATGCAGCCTGAGACTGAAACACAAATGATTTACACAGACAAAAACAACTGACATATAAAACAATACAAACGTGTTTTCCACATACACACACAGCACATGGAGGGAAAAGACGGGCTTGTCTGTAATGTCTTATCTACATGCATTAGGAGGATGTTGTGTTAAGGCTGCCATAACCATCACTAAGGAGAAAAAAATGCTTGCTTGTCATAATTTTTTGCTCTTGTCATCTTGTTCAGCTCTCATAGCCTTGAAGAGGGATATCTCTCAATTCTGTAACTTGATACACACTGACCGACTGACTGGACTGGCTAGTTTTGGGGAGTTTTTGAAGGCAGTTTTCAGAGGTGTCTCCAAAAAGCAAGCAGAATGTGATGATTTGGTGTACTGTTTTACGAATGGGACTATTTTTGCACAGACGCGGGACATGGGAGAAACAGCGAAGTGTGTGTGTGTGTGTCTTGGTGATGACACCCACAGAGCCCTGAGGTGGATTTTAATGTCACACAAACACCTTTGATATATGGTCACTCACAGACACACACACACACTCAAAACACACACAGACACGCACTTGTACACATTATTTTAACGGATTAACATTACTGTACAGAGACTCCACACACACACACACACATAGAGGGGAGAGGAGCCTGCATGAACGTTTCCCCTCTCTCTCTGAAGGTCAAAATACTCTAGAGGCATGGAAATAGTTCACTGGTCTTCATGTGCCCAGGGGTGGGGTGGGTAATCGGGGGGTAGCCGGGGGCGCCGGTATCAGATGAAAGGGTTTCGCGACGTTCCTCTACCCGGGTAAACATTCCCCTGAGAGAGGGAGGGAGAGATGGAAAGAGAGAGAGAGAGAGAGAGAGAGGGAGGGAGGGAGAGATGGAAAGAGACATGGGAGGGAGTGGTTGAGGGAGAGATGGAAAGAGAGAGGGTGAGGGAGAGTTCCTGCTGTACATCTACTGCACCAAAAATGCCCTCCAATAACTTTTGAATTAAGCATTAGCATAACAATTAAGCAGCTAGCGGTCCAAATCCCCAACAAACTCTGTGCAAATCTATTGAAGTACACTCAATGCTCATGGTAGTGTTGCTATAGTGTGGTATGGTACTCACAGTGAATGGGTTCACTGACATTGGACGAGGAACTTTGGGTTGAGAGTCCGGTGCAGGGAAAGAGGCAAAACCTACAAATCCAACAACACCCCAAAATCAGAGATACATTAGGACCAAATATTAATACATCCAATACTAGTCTGACAAACATAGAACCACATTCAAACACATTGACAACATCCAGCATCCAACATGAAAGGGGGTTCTAACCTAGAAATATAATTACTAGAATAGACAACGCCCCTCAGACCATAGAAATTTCACTCATTCAAATTTCATGGGTTCTAACTCTATATTTGGGGGCTGAGTTGGTATTATGTAAGCATGGGAAAATATGCTGTGATCATCATTAGCTGTGATGTTGGCGCCTCCTTAGGGTTTGAGGAGGCGGAGTTCATTTTGATCACAGGCCAAATCCCATACATAACAGATGACATGGCATGCTGCTGCAGCCCAGCCAAAGAACACATCCATGCAGCACTCCAGTGACTAACTGTTGTGTTTCTTGGCAAAGCATGTACTGTAATTTGTATATATAGAACACAAAATGGAAAATGCTATTTTTGCGTGCTCTTGTCCTGTGCGGTTGGAGACAATTCTCCAAATTATTTTGACGAGAATAGAATTGCATGACAATTAGAATGAGAATAGAATTATAGTCCACTTCTACTTGCCGTTGGCTTCCTGGTTGTTGGCATGCTTGTGTGGAAATGCATTCTGGTTAGCGGGAGTTGGGAAGGTGGTGGACGGGAGGAACACTGAGGTTGGAGAGCTGACGAACCCACTGGAGTCACCTGCATAGGGAAACACAACATAAGGGTGTTAAGTCACACACAGTAAATTGAATTATCTTGTGTCCTCCAATAAACCAAGAATCCATGGGCCCCAATTCTCCATTATAACTGTTTGTTAATGATTTCTAAACTACACTACCAGTCAAAAGTTTGGACACACCTACTCATTCAAGGGTTTTTCTTTATTTTTATTATTTTTTACATTGTATAATAATAGTGAAGACATCGAAACTATGAAATAACACATATGGAAACATGTAGTAACCCAAAAAGTGTTAAACAAATCAAAATATATTTTATATTTGAGATTCTTCAAATAGCCACCCTTTGCCTTGATGACAGCTTTGCACACTCTTGGCATTCTCTCAAACAGCTTCATGAGGTAGTCACCTGGAATGCATTTCAATTAACAGGTGTGCCTTCTTAAAAGTTAATTTGTGGAATTTATTTCCTTCTTAATGCGTTTGAGCCAATCAGTTGTGTTGTGACAAGGTAGGGGTGGTATACAGAAGATAGCCCTATTTGGTAAAAGACCAAGTCCATATTTTGGCAAGAACAGCTCAAATAAGCAAAGAGAAATGACAGTCCATCATTACTTTAAGACATGAAGGTCAGTCAATATGGAACATTTCAAGAACTTTGAACGTTTCTTCCAAGTGCAGTCGCAAAAACCATCAAGCACTATGATGAAACTGGCTCTCATGAGGACCACCACAGGAATGGAAGACCCAGAGTTACCTCTGCTGCAGAGGATATGTTCATTAGAGTTACCCGCCTCAGAAATTGCAGCCCAAATAAATGATTCACAGAGTTCAAGTCACAGACACATCTCAACATCAACTGTTCATGTTCAGAGGGGACTATGTGAATCAGGCCTTCATGGTTGAATTGCAGCAAAGAAACCACTACTAAAGGACACCAATAAGAAGAAGAGATATGCTTGGGCCAAGAAACATGTGCAATGGACATTAGACCGGTGGAAATGTGTCCTTTGGTCTGGAGTCCAAATTTGAGATTTCTGGTTCCAACCGCCGTGTTTTGTGAGACGCGGTGTGGGTGAACGGATGATCTCCGCATGTGTAGTTCCACCGTAAAGCATGGAGGAAGAGGTGTTATGGTGTGGGGGTGCTTTGCTGGTGACACTGTCTGTGATTTATTTAAAATTCAAGGCACACTTAACCAGCATGGCTACCACAGCATTCTGCATCAATACATCTTCCCATCTGGTTTGGGCTTAGTGGGACTATCATTCGTTTTTCAACAGGACAATTACATTTACATTTTTGTCATTTAGCAGACGCTCTTATCCAGAGCGACTTACAGTTAGTGAATACCATTTTTTTTTTTATATACTGGCCCCCCATGGGAATCGAACCCACAACCCTGGCGTTGCAAACGCCATGCTCTATCAACAAAGATACATCCCTGCCGGCCATTCCCTCCCCTACCCTGGGCCAATTGTGCGTCGCCCATGAGTCTCCCGGTCGCGGCCGGCTGCGACAGAGCCTGGATTCGAACCAGGATCTCTAGTGGCACAGTTAGCACTGCGATGCAGTGCCTTAGACCACTGCTCCACTCAGGAGCAATGACCCAACACACCTCCAGGCTGTGTAAGGACTATTTTACCAAGAAGGAGAGTGATGGAGTGCTGCATCAGATGACCTGGCCTCCACAATCCCCCGACCTCAACCCAATTGAGATGGTTTGGGATGAGTCGGACGGCAGCCAACAAGTGCTCAGCATATGTGGGAACACCTTCAAGACTGTTGGAAAAGCATTCCAGGTGAAGCTGGTTGAGAGAATGCCAAGAGTGTGCAAAGCTGTCATCAAGGCAAAGGGTGGCTATTTGAAGAATCTCAAATATAACATATATTATGATTTGTTTATCACTTTTTTGGTTACTACATGACTTCATATGTGTTATTTAATAGTGTTGATGTCTTCCCTATTATTCTACAATGTAGAAGAAAAACCCCTTGAATGAGTAGGTGTGTCCAAACTTTTGACTGGTACTGTACATACACTATTAACTAATGAAGACTGTCTATAAACTACTTATATACAGTTTACCCCTTAAGGGGTACCTTCATGTAAAGTGTTACTGGACATTCTTGACCTTTCCCCCAGGCTGAATAAGCAGTGCTCTGCTGGCAGCTTACCTCCTGAGGTGGAGCTGTTGAAGGGGTTACTGGGGGATAGGGCAGGCTGCTGCTGCTGAGAGCTGGAACTGCAGCTGAACGGGTTGGGGAAGTCTGAGACATGGAGGTAGGAGACAGAGAGAAAGAGGAAGAGAGCGAGACAAGGAGAGCGAGAGCGACAGAGACAGAGATAGAGACAATAGTTAATGGATATGTTCAAGCCTTTCAAAGTCTTTAATGAAATATATACACCTGCATGATTGATTAATATTTTTGTAACACTGCCTACTTGCAAATGTTTGGGATCCCGACACGGCATCCACACCTGGAGAGCTGAAGAAAGAAGGAAAAGAAGAGAGGAAGGAAGGACCAACTATATATTATTACATTCATGAACATTAACAAAAACAAGTCAATTTAATATTGGCAGTTGCCTCCAGCTATGGTGTGAGACTGTCATGAATTAGTAAACCAAGGGCATGCAGATATCCTGAGCAATTAAAACAATGTATTTGTACCGGGACTGGTGCACTTTAACACAGTCGACACTTCTTCGATGCATTAAATAGGAATGTTAAGTGTATTTGCTTGACATTGCATTCATTACCTGGCAGGAGTGGAACTGGAGGACAGGCGGTTCCCAAATAGGGTGCTATACTGGGGTAGTCCACCGGGGGGTGCTGAAAACACACATTCAAATAAATAGACATACCATAGACGGGTTGGTTGTTTAGGCTAAACAAAACCGACACGTGCGCAACTATGGGGCAAAACAGACAGGGTTGGCTTAGATTGTTGACAACATGTAAACTATATTTTGTCTCCAAATGTTTATTGAAAACATAAATACATTTGCACAATGAGCACTTGTTGTCCCTCAACTACATCATTACAGTTGTTGGTTAACTGGCTAGCGAATTTTTGCCATATTAGCATAGAAAGGAAGCTCTGACGAAGGCCTTGAGGCCGATACGTAAAGCTTATTAAAGAGCAGTGATTATTCAACTGTTACAATGCACCTGCAACAAAGATAGCTCAGATGTGCGAGTGCCTTTTGAATTTTTCGCCATATTAGCAAAGACATGACATGAGTCAAAACACCTCAAAACAAGACATGGTATCAATAAAAAGCTACAACGAGCTGAAACAAGCCACCTATGATTCCCCACATGGATGCTTCTTGTCATTGTTGCTAGCTATCAGACCGCTCAGAATCATAACACCATACGGCCTTCTGCCTCATCAATGCATGTGCATAATTTTCGTAACGTTGTCAGCCAACCCGTCTATAAGCAGAGGGCTCAGCTGGGGGCTGATTTGAGAGATCAAGTGTAATTGATTTGATTTGATTTGACATAGGGTGCACATTTTCCACTCTCAGTGTGTGATTGGTCAAGGTGTAACTGTATTGACTGTGCTCAGGGTAAAAAACATGCTTATAGTTCAAGGCTATATGAATCAAAAGAAACTACACATAAATCAACCTACAGTATATGATTGCCTGGGTGAGAGATAGTAAGTATTGAATCATGGGACTAAAACAATGCTATATGTTCAAACATGCCTAAGGCATTGTTCCAGCACATTTATGTTATCATTAGTTAAGTTAGCAGTTAGTAGCATTGCTAAATCAAAACTGGAACATATTTCCTCGGTTGTTCTGTAACAACCCAACGGTGTAGTATTGAGAGCAGAAAACACAATGGGGATAATTCACTTGGTAAAACCTTGGCATTTAGAGTAAGGGCATTATGCATTGTAGCTGACAATAACCTCTCTCTCTCTCACACACACACACACTCACACAAAGCTATGTCTTACTATACTTGTGAGGACTTTTTGGGGACCAACAATTGATTCCAATTCAAAATCCTATTTTCCCTAACCCCTAAACCCAACCCTAACTCCTAACCCCTAAACCTAACCCTAAGCCTAAAATATACTTTTTTGTTTAGTGAGGACCGGCAAAATGTCCTCACTTCTCCAAATGTTTGTTGGTGTACTATTCTTGTGAGGACTTCTGGTACTCACAAGTATAGTAAAATGTGTACACACACACCCACCCTCTCCCACCCCCCACACACTCCTTCTACCCTTACCTGTAGGTCCTGGTCCAGGCGACATGTCAGAGAAGACACTGTTTAGTTGGGACAGGGCAGCGTAGCGGTCTTGGTGGTTTGTGTGTGTGTTTGGGCCGGGGGCTGGGGCTGGGGGGGTGATGCTGAGGGCACTGTGACTGTGCTGCTGGCTGAGCCCTCCAAAATCCACACTCAGAGACTTAGGGAAGGCCCTGAAGGGGGCTAAGCCCCCCGAGGAGGACACTATACGACCTGAGAAGACCAAACAAAGATGGCCGAGATAAGGAAGGCTGGGGGTGTGTCCGAGATGGCACCCTATTCCCTATATAGTGCACTGCATTTGACCAAGGCCCGCAAAGTAGTGCAATACATAGGTAATAGGGTGCTATTTCAGACGCAGCCCATGCATGTTTTTCCTGACCATGTGACTTGACCAGGCAATAGCCTCAATGGATTATTGAGGCTATATTTGCCATCTTGGTCTGGTGAGGCTATTGCCTGGTCAAGTCACATGGTCAGGAAAAACATGCATGGGCTGCACAAACGTTTAGCATGCTACATGTATTAGCAGCCAGCAGGAGTTGAATGTGTTCCTAGACAGAATCATAGCATACTTCTGAGCTGTGAAATACCATTGGGCCCCTGTTGAAAGGAGCATTGTCCACTCTCTAAAAATCTCTCTCTCTCTCTCTCTCTCTCTCTCTCTCTCTCTCTCTCTCTCTCTCTCTCTCTCTCTCTCTCTCTCTCTCTCCTCCGATCGGGGACTGAAGGGAGAAATTGACTAATCAGAAGTAATAGCAGAAGAGTACAGGAAGTACCTAAAGTGAAGTTCTTATTGAAAGTGCTACTGGCTAAGGAGGTAAAATTAGAGAGAGAGAAAATGAGAGATATGTAGGTAGAGGGTGTGGTCTTTACCTGAGGGTCGAGGGAGTGCAGGAAAGGAGGGGGCGTGGCTCTGGGGTCCCATCGCTGAAGACAGAGAGCCTGGACGTTGTCTCTCTATACCTCTCAGTAGAGACTCTGAGAGAGAGAGAGCGACAGACAGAGAGAGAGAGAGAGAGAGAGCGACAGACAGAGCGAGAGCGAGAGGGAGACAGACAGAGAGAGAGTGGGATAGAACAGTAGAGAGAAGGACAGAGAGAGAAAGAGTGAGAAAGAGTGAGGAACAGATATAACGATAGAGAGGTGGAAAGAGAAAAAAACAACAGGGTCAAATCATGTTGCCTCAGGTTCCATTATTCATAGTACCAAAAAAGAAGGTGAACTGTTCTACCTTTCATAGGGGGGTCTCTAAAGCTCTGGGAGCGTGAGGGAGCACGGGCGGTAAACACTTCCGCCTTCATGTCCGCAGGGGAGATAGCGGGGACTCTTGACGAGAGCTGGGACTGGGACTGGAGGAGAGGGGAGACGGGGGGGTGGGACCACACAGTGGGTGGGTGTATTTTTCCTCTGTGTTACGTTATCCTCATTTAACCCTTCATCTATTATTCACCCCTTTATTTTTGATGTGAAGATGACCTGGAGTGGGTTATTTATTTGGTCATCCGCCTCTGTCTCTCTGTGTCATTGGATCTCTATTGGTACAGTATTCAGTATTCTGGTACAGTATTCAGTATTCTGGTGCTAACTCTAACTCTATTACGCTTCTCCACAGTAACACCTCTCTCTCCACTTCTTTTTCTCTCTCTCTCTCCTCTTTCTCTCTCTCTCACTCTCTCTCCACTTGCTCTCTCTCTCCCTCCCTCCCTCCCTCCCTCCCTCCCTCCCTCCCTCCCTCCCTCCCTCCCTCTTCACTTTCCCTTTCAATGTAATTTAATAAAGCTTTATATACATGAAATACACCTCTGCCTCTCTCATCTATTGGAGGAGTTATGTATCTCACCAGTGTGCGTCTGGCCGAGGGGAGCATGGTGTGGGATGGGGCCTGGGCGGGCGGGGGGCCGTGAGAGGAGGGTAAAGCCTGCACCCCCGGCGGGCTCCAGGGTCCCTCCACCTCCCTCCGGCACTTGTTCTTCGAAAAATGCCTGAAGAATAGTTCAATGTTGCTGTGAGTACATTTGAAGAAGAGATTTTATCTCAATGAGACTAAACTAAACTAAGAACGAAAAAATAATTTTCCCACTGTAAGTAAATGCATTGTGCTACAAAATAATTTGAGTGGACATTCAACATATTCAACTCAATGTGTACAACTTTGATCGGATGTGTTCGGATGAGTTCGAAGTACAGTGCTATGAAAAAGCATTTGCCCCCTTTCTAATTTTCTCTACTTTTGCATATTTGTGATACTGAATGTTATCAGATCTTCAACCAAAACCTAATATTAGATAAAGGGAACATAAGTGAACAAATAACACAACAATTACATATTTATTTCATTTATTTCATAAACAAAGTTATGCAACACCCAATTCCCCTGTGTGAAAAAGTAATTGCCCACTTACACTCAATAACTGGTTGTGCCACCTTTAGCTGCAATGACTCCAACCGAATGCTTCCTGTAGTTGTTGATCAGTCTCTCACGTCGCTGTGGAGGAATTTTGGCCCACTCTTCCATGCAGAACTGTTTTAACTCAGTGACGTGTGGGTTTTCAAGCATGAACCGTTCGTTTCAAATTGCAGCTAGGTCATGCAGCAAGACAATGATCCAAAACACACAATCAAGTCTACATGAAAATAGCTAAAAAGCAACAAATTGGAAGTTTTGGAATGGCCTAGTCAAAGTCCAGACCTAATCCCAATTGAGATGTTGTGGCAGGACTTGAAACGAGCAGTTCATGCTTGAAAACCCACATGTCACTGAGTTAAAGCAGTTCTGCATGGAAGAGTGGGCCAAAATTCCTCCACAGCGACGTAGGGTTCACATACTTTCAAGCAGCACTGTAGATATCTTTATGGAGATATGATGATATCTTTATTGATTTCCTCACCATTTCTTCTTCTCGTATTTGTCCTGGAGGAACTCCTTGAGTTTCTGGGAGTCCCTTGTATCGAAGCATCCATCTGTCTTTGGCTCAAAGACACACAGCCAAGTCCTCCTCCCCACCTACACACATACACACACACGTACACACATGTGCAGAGCCGCAGACGCACGTACGGGTGCACACACAAACACACAAATAATGATGCAGAACATCAACAATAGACACCACATACACACACACGTGGACGCACACACACACACACAGTCTTGTACAACTAACCTTGCTGGGACACACAATTCAGTCCCATTCAAAATCCTATTCTCCCTAACCCCTAACCCTAAACCCAACCCTAAGCTTAACCCGAAAACCTAACCTTAACCCTAAACCTAATCCTAGCTCCTAACCCTAACCCTAAACCTAATTCTAACCTTAACCCTAAACCCCCTAGCATTAGCGTTTGACCTTGTGGGGACCAACAAAATGTTCCCGATTGGCCAAATTGTGTTAGTTTACTATTCTTGTGTGGACTGCTGGTCCCCACAAGTATAGTTAAACATGTACACACACACACACACACACACACACACCAAAATAATGATGTAGAAACTGAACAGTAGACACCTCTGCCTACTGACACATTAGTTAACATGCTAGAGTCACTTGCTCTGATCGACACTACTGTAGCTCACTGACTAATTATGAATCACCAACATCAAAACATTGATCTAACCAAATCTGACTACCCAGACTTTTCTACCTGATATCTGCATCAGTGCAATGAATCAGACACTCATGCACGCACGCACGCACAGACTAGTTTCTAACTAAATGGTATCATTGTGTGCAACTGTAAAGTTTGATCCCTTTCACTGCAGACACTCTCTCAGCTCACACACACACACACATTCTCTCTCTCACACACACACACACACACACACAGTGATGAGGTGGTTTGGGTGTACAGTAACTGCGATGTTCGATCTGATTCACTGCACAAAATGGGCAGAGCACCTACATTCCTCCAGAAACAGCCTGTAACCACCAAACAGTGCTACACTCTATTGGTCTGACTGGTAAAAGACAGGGAAGCATAAAGCATCCTCTTCTATCTCATAAAGATGGATGAGATTTTATCTGGACCTTATATAGTCTAGTTCACATAAAAAAAACGATTCCTTAGACAGAGATGGATGAATCTATCTCATGTGGCCTCAATCCCTCTCCTGGTGGCCTCGGCTCAATAATGTACATTTATCATTTATGATATCTATTTATAATACCTATATAATCTATTCTTGCTCTATTCATCCTGGGACATGAAACATGTATATATTTAATACTGAGTCCAAGTATGCGTCACAATTGTGTTTTGTTCACCTTTTCCTGCTGTTGAAATATTGAAGTATCCAGCTGAGCATTGAGCATTATGCCCAGAATTGAAATGAGGTGGGTGAAATATAGGTGTAATACTGTTAAGTCCCGCCCACAAGCCCACCTGACTCTGTCGATAATGGAGGCAGCCTGCCTGTCACTCACCTCATTGCCATGGTTTTGCAGAAACTCCACTTCCTGTTGGGAGAAGGTTGTCATGGAGATAGACTTGACTCTGTGGGGAGGGTTGAGTCCTCTCCTGAGAGAAGAGAGAGATTGGAAAAAGAGAAACCGATAAAAGAGATATGTAAGATATGTGAAAGGGGGCACTCCACATTCATAACAACATAAATCACTAAAGATGAACACTTGTGATACTGCATTTAAAAGAGGAAAGGGCAGTAGAGGGTATTTAAATTGTTCAAAAAATGGATGTAATGACAGGTGACTGTGAGAAAAAGTTAAAATAGATTGTTACAGTGAAAATGGTCATAGTGCAAATGTATCCAGTGTAGAGAAGGCTTACACAACAGGACATAATATTGTGTTCATTCACTGTGCAAATGGTATCTTTAGGCTATTCTTCTGTAATCATGACAGGCTGTTCTTTGGAGTGAGACAGCATGTGCAAGACTCTAAACCTATGCTGAAATCTCACCACTGCGAATTAGTGAAACCTTGCGAAATGTCCCACAGCCACAGCCTATAATCTGTTGGGGACCTGAGCTATGGTCTGCATGCAGAATACAATACATGAGCCTGAAGAGAATGCCAAACCTGGTGCAATGCCGAAATGAAACGTAACACGAGCACGACTACGGGCATGCCTGAAAATGATAAAGTAGTCTGATTAACTGTAGCATAGGACACCAAGGGGAGGAAGAGACACCACATAGATTAATACAGGGCGCGTCACAGTTTCAGTTTCTTGTCAATACTCAAATGTAACAGCAGCATCCTAAAATATAATCTGCAGATGCAACATACTGGTTAATCATTATCTGCATGCACAGCCTGGTCTCATAGACTTGACGTAACATAGTAATCAAATCAAATTTAATTGGTCGCATACACATATTTAGCAGATGTTATCGCGGGTGTAGCGAAATGCTTATGTTCCTAGCTCCAACAGTGCAGTAATACCTGACAATATAAAACAATACAACCAAATCCAAAAAATCTAAAGAAAGATATTAAGAGATATATAAATATTAGAATGAGCAATGTCCGGATAAAACAGTGTGTAAACATTATTAAAGTGACCAGTGGTAAATTACTATGTACATAGGGCAACAGTCTCTAAGGTGCAGGGTTGAGCCGGCTAGTAACAGTGACTAAAGTTCAGGGCAGGGTACTGGGCCGGCAAGTGGTGACTGTTTAATAGTCTGATGGCCTGGAGATAGAAGCTGTTTTTCAGTCTCAGTCCCAGATTTGATGCACCTGTACTATCTCCGCATTCTAAATGGTAGCGGAGTGAACAGGCCGTGGCTCGGATGGCTGAGGTCCTTGATGATCTTCTTGGCCTTCCTGTGACACCGGGTGCTGTAGATGTCCTGGAGGGCAGGCAGTGCGCCCCCGGTGACACTCAAATTATGTTACGTTTGGTATGGTTACATAAGACAGAAGGTTACTTAAGGAAAAAAATTAAGTAGGGTGATTGGTCGAGTGGTGGATGGGTGGGCGTATACAGGGAACTTCTAGCAACCCAAAGGTTGCGTGTTGAAATCTCATCACGGCCAACTTTAGCATTTTATCTAATTAGCAGCTTTGCAACTACTTACTACTTTTTAGCTAATTTGTAACTACTTAACATGTTAGCTAACCCTTCCACTATCCCTATCCCTAACTCCTAACCCTTTAACTTAACTCCTAACCCTAACCTTAACTCCTAACCCTAACCTTAACTCCTAACCCTAACCTTAACTCCTAACCCTAACCTTAAACTCCTAACCCTAACCTTAACTCCTAATCCAGCATTTCCCAAACTCGGTCCTCGGGACCCCAAGGGGTGCATGTTTTGATTTTTGCCCTAACACTACACAGCTTGATGATTAGTTGATTATTTGAATCATCTGTGTAGTGCTAGGGAAAAAACCAAAACATGCACCGAGTTTGGGAAAACCTGCCCTAAACCCTAGCCTAGCTAACGTTAGCAGCCTAGTTAACATTAGCGTTAGCCATCTAGCCATATCATTTGTTTTGCAATTTGGTAACATATTGTACGAATTGCAATTCGTAACATATTGTATGAATTGCAATTCGTAACCTATCATACGAAATGGATAATGGATATCCACAAATGAATACATTCCATACTAATTGGAGAGTCCCGGATTTACATTTACTATGTTACGTCTACCCCTGAGTCCAGGTTGGCATGAAATGGGCTTAGTTTTGTAGTTTTATTATAATTGTAGGCATATGTAGCCTAATAGCCTATGCGCAATATGCATGTTATAGAAAAAGCTATCCATACTTACAGCATTCCAGAGCACGACGTGCATACGAAGCAGCCCACGGTGATATCAATGTAAGTCACCCCGGGTTGACTGCACTCGAAGCAGTGTTTGTTTACTCCAGCCTGGGCCAACTCCCGGACCTTGCGGGCGCATATCTCTTGGTTGTCCCGATGTTTTCGGTTCGACATATTGATGTCTCGGTCCGCTCTCACCGCCTTTGGTCTGGCACAGACGACAGGCTCGTAGTGGTGAGCCGCTTACCACTGGCCCTCCGCTATCCTCCCTGATTTCTCCCTTCGTTTACAGTATATATTACTCACGCCCGCATTATTTATGCAGCTCGCTTTAACGTGATTTGAGACAGATATTACATGCCTGCGTCAGGCTGTGTCGTGTCTTTAGCAGAAGAAGTCAGAGGAGATCTTGTCATACTGTCAAAGAGTTTTACTAGGTCGTTATTTATTTATTCATTGCTGCATTATCCTCTTCGGCAGTGGAGAAAGAAATCTGTCTCGCTCTAAATATCTCTCTCCTCTGCTTCGCTCTCTGCTCGCCATACGAAGACGCGTCGCATTGGAATGGTGACAGATTTTTGGAACCCAGCTTGCCAGCTAAGGCAAGGACAGAGGCTCACACATAGCATAGATCGATAAATAAAACAACCTACACAAATAAACCAACAGAGAAGAGAAAAAATAAACCATTATAATTATTACATTCTATTCTATATGACTATGCTGAAACATATTTATTCAGATTATTTTATGAGAGTTGTCTGATGTAAGTTTATTTTAATAGTAACAGCAACACACATGTAATGCCTGTCATGGGGAGACTCTATCACGCCCATTGCATTATGACGTCCGAAATGAAAAAGTATTGTTTTATCTGTCTTGAGTTTGTTAACTCTTCACATCGATTTCTGATAAAACACCATCCATTTAGAACATAAAAAAGCAATATATGATAGGCTACTATACAGGTCACAAAGGGTTTACGCACGCGTCATTACGCACATGTAGTAATTAAACAGATTCAAGATAGATATCCTACCCAAAATAAATCCCTCCTAAACACTTGAGATTGGTTTCAGATTTTACACTCAGAGCAGATCAGCCAGTGAATGTAATGTAATGACGTCTTTTGGTCACGAAAGAGAGCCATGTGCAGGCAGGTCAGGTGGTATCGGCCTGGCTGAGTCCCTGCAGCAATTGTCACTCACCTGTCATTTGATCCTACAAGCTTTTCAGATGGTGGTGTAGGATGTAAACATTGTAGGCCTGCATGCATACTATCTAGCAGCTTTTCAGCAGAGTAAGGCCTTTTAACAATGTACATCTCTTCTATTCTATTAATGTGAACATTGTGCCCTAATGTGTGTGTGTATATACGTGTGTGTGTGTGTGTAGGCTATGTGTGTTGCGCCATGCAGAGAGACATACATGATTGGTCTAGATCATCAGCCACTGTAATGATAGGTCTGTCTTGGCCGCTCAACCTCAGAGTAGCTACTGTGGTACGCAGACCTCTCTGGTTACATAGAACCAGTGGCGGCTCCTGAAAAAATTCTCAGGAGGGGCAATTTTTCTGATGATTTAGGTGACCTACACACATTTAAAAAAATATATGTCCAGCAACAACATGAAGACAGGGGCAGCATATAAGTCAATACCAGAAGCATTTATTGACTGATCTGGGGAGATGGATTCCAGTTTCTGTGACAGATTATAAATAATCTCTGATGCCTTTGTTATATTAGCTTTTGGTTGAATGTACTGTCGTAGTAAATATATAATGTTATAGCTTGGTCTGACTAAAATCTTGTGCATGACCCATTTTGTGTTGGGCCTTTGTATTCAATACAATGAACAAGAGTCCTATCTTGTCAGCCTTGTCAGCAGGTGGCTAAGGATAACACCCACGCCATAGGTCTCTCAGTTCTTCCAACTCACGAGTTCTTGCCCTGAGGACACACACACACACACCCACACACACACACACACACACACACACACACACATCATCACTGATAAACACACACACACACACACACACATCATCACTGATAACAAACACACACACACACACACACACACACACACACTGATAACAAACACACACACACACAAATCCTCTTCTCTTAGGCTGAACATCTGAAGACAGAGAACCCGACTCAGAGCCAATGCAACAGTGACACTAGCCTGGAGGTGACCTCGCCCAACTCATCAGGACCAATCAGAAGATCAGAACTACTAGATTCAACCTACTTCATTTTATTGTATAAAATGTCAGCACACAATGTTTAGGGGCTCTTCTGATAAACTCCCTACGAGTTTGACGAACGGGTCCGTGCACACGATTCCAGATATCTTTACCTCTGAATAAACTGCCTTATATTATACAATTATCCACCTTGTCCAAAAGTCTCTACTTGGTCTCCGTTCTCCAGTAAACTTGTTTTATCAACAATAGTAAGGTTCAATGACACAGAAAGCAGTTCAATGTCGGGGTACAGAGTCGCTCTCTTACCAGGATCGCGGTCCGCTCTGACCAGGGTGAAGCCGGCCGGCTCCACCTCTCTGTCCGGGACTCTGTCATCCAGCCAAGTCTCCCAGCTGTATTGGGATTCCGCTGCCAGCAGCGTTTTCATTATTTAGTCCGTTCGTAGCGGGTATGTACACGATCAACAAGATCAGTCCAAAACCGAAGATCAGTCCAAAGCAGAATGTTTGCAGAATGTTTGTAAACTAAGTCTACAAATTAAAAACATAAAATAACGCCACACTGCAGGTCGCAACATAGACGCTGCTAGCCGCCATTGTCTTAGTTACGTTCAACGTTACGTCACGTATGACGAAAGCGCGTAAGTGCATGCCCACAGACACCCATAGAGAATGTATTGAAAGCTTTGAAATGTGAAAAAAATAGATTTTACATGACAGGCTATGAGAGACTTCTGGGCGATTTTCAACCTGACTGAAATCGCCCAAAAAACGGGCGGGGCCATTTGAAGCACGACTTTAGCCTGATTTGACATTTAGTGGCTGGCAGATCAGACGTGAACACTGATAACTGCTGTTGCCGTGATATAATTGATTAGAAAAAAAATCCCTTCCTTTTCCCGTTTGGCAGTGCGTCGCCCATATCGCCCTATTGAACAAGCCGTCCCTGCATAGAACTGTATGTTGTATTGAGGTAGAGCTAATCTCCTGTTGCTCAAGGATAAGTGGACTTTTTAACATTCTGTTTTGAAATAGCCCTCTTGGAGATACAATATGTGTGTGTGTTTGTGTGTGTGTCTGTATCTGTGTATGTCTGTGTGTTTGTTTGTTTGTGTGTATTGCTCGCATTTGTCTGTGTTTATGTTAATTAGAGGGCTTCTTGCCTCAGTAAGACAAAGTACAAGTATCTTCATTAATTGCAAGAGGTTGCCAAACAAGAATACACACCCTAACCACCCGAATTGTGCCTCTTTCTAAACATTTGTATGGGATTGAGGGAGTAGATGGCCCTTAGCAAGCATAATTATCTCACATAAAAACCTATTGACCAAACTACATTCCCTGTCACTATGCGAATGAATCACAAATTGACTGGTCATTGGGAATACACATCAAAGACTGAATCATTGGGAGAGAACGTTTTTGTAATGTTACCTGTAATGTTCCCCTGATGTTTGAGTGTCCAGTTTTCCGTTAGTTATGGGAACATTCTATGTTAGCAAAAACCTCCTGAGAACCTATTTAGCATGTTTTGGCATTAGAGTTAGGAGAACATTCCCTTAATGTCAAACAAAACTTGCCCAGAACGTGGTTACCATGTTCTCAGAATATTCCATATTAATGTTCTACAGAGGTTTCATGGCATGTTGCAAGAATATGAATGTGTCCAGTTTTCTGAGGGTTAGGAGAATATTCCATCAATGTCACACCAAACATACACAGAACATGGTTGCCATGTTCTCAGAATTTAAGATATAAATGTTCTAGATATGTTTCATTGGAACGTTGTAAGAACATGTGTCCAAGGACGTTTAAAACATAAGACATTCTGTCATGGTCCCCTGGAGGTTTTTGTCTAGTTCCTGGCTTGTTCCGATGACGTCCCGGAAGACGTTTTTAGGACGTCGACTGATGGTCCCAAAGAGACGTTCTCCCCCCAAAAAACGTATTTCTTTATACATCACCCCTTGTTACTGTTGACGAGCCCATGACGGCCCTGATTGGCAAGGGTAGACACACCCACAAACACAAACATGGTTTTCAACATACAGAGTTTTCAACTTACATATTTGACACACTTTGACATACATTACATTGTGCATGTTCATTTATACAGTAATTATTATTCAACATGTCCTCACCTGGGATTTGAAGAACCTCTTGATTAAGGAGTAACATTAAAAAGAGTCATATGCCCCACCAACATGAGACAACTATAATGTTTTTTTTTTTTTTTCTGAAATAAGTCAATCAAATCTATGATGAGAGAATAGTCAGATTAACTGATAACTGACACAGACATGGTGGTGTAGCACGAAGATTGGAATTCTGTGAACCAAGAGGTTGTGAATTTGAATCCCATGTGAAGACATGTTGAAAAAGAATTACTGTATAAATTAACATGCACAATGTAAAAATGTATGTAAAAGATTGTCACATGCAGTTGAAGTCAGAAGTTTACATACACATTGGCCAAATACATTTCAACTCAGTTTTTCACAATTCCTGACATTTAATCCTAGTAAAAATGCCCTGTCTTAGATCAGTTAGGATCACCACTTTATTTGAAGAATGTGAAATGTCAGAATAATAGTAGAGAGAATTATTTATTTAATCTTTTATTTCCTTCATCACATTCCCAGTGGGTCAGAAGTTTGCATACACTCAATTAGTATTTGGTAGCATTGCCTTTAAATTGTTTAACTTGGGTCAAACGTTTCGGGTAGCCTTCCACAAGCTTCCCACAATAAGTTGGGTGAATTTTGGCCCATTCCTAATGACAGAGCTGGTGTAACTGAGTCAGGTTTGTAGGCCTCCTTGCTCGCACACGCTTTTTCAGTTCTGCGCACAAATGTTCTATAGGATTGAGGTCAGGGCTTTGTGATGGCCACTCCAATACCTTGACTTTGTTGTCCTTAAGCCATTTTGCCACAACTTTGGAAGTATGCTTGGGGTCATTGTCCATTTGGAAGACCCATTTGCGACCAAGCTTTAACTTCCTGACTGATGTCTTGAGATGTTGCTTCAATATATCCACATCATTTTCCTTCCTCATAATGCCATCTATTTTGTGAAGTGCACAAGTCCCTCCTGAAGCAAAGCACCCCCACAGCATGATGCTGCCACCCTCGTGCTTCACGGTTGGGATGGTATTCTTTGACTTGCAAGCAACCCCATTTTTCCTCCAAACATAACGATGGTCATTATGGCCAAACAGTTCTATTTTTGTTTCATCAGACCAGAGGACATTTCTCCTAAAAGTACGATCTTTGTCCTCAAGTGCAGTTGCAAACCGTAGTCTGGCTTTTTTATGGCGGTTTTGGAGCAGTGGCTTCTTCCTTGCTGAGCGGCCTTTCAGGTTATGTCGATATAGGACTCGTTTTACTGTGGATATAGATACTTTTGTAGCTGTTTCCTCCAGCATCTTCACAAGGTCCTTTGCTGTTGTTCTGGGATTGATTTGCACTTTTCGCACCAAAGTACGTTAATCTCTAGGAGACAGAACGTGTCTCCTTCCTGAGCGGTATGACGGCTGCATGGTCCCATGGTGTTTATACTTGCGCACTATTGTTTGTACAGATGAACGTGGTACCTTCAGGTGTTTGGAAATTGCTCCCAAGAATGAACCAGACTTGTGGAGGTCTACAATTTTTTTTATGAGGTCTTGGCTGATTTTGAAGGTAGGCCTTGAAATACATCCACAGGTACACCTCCAATTGACTCAAATGATGTAAATTAGCCTATCAGAAGCTTCTAAAGCCATGACATCATTTTCTGGAATCTTCCAAACTGGGTAAAGGCACAGTCAATTTAGTGTATGTAAACTTCTGACCCACTGGAATTGTGATACAGTGAATTATAAATTAAATAATCTGTCTGTTAACAATTGTTGGAAAAAGTCCTTGTGTCATGCACAAGGTAGATGTCCTAACCGACTTGCCAAAACTATAATTTGTTAACAAGAAATGTGTGGAGTGGTTGAAGAACGAGTTTTAATGACTCCAACCTAAGTGTATGTAAACCTCCGACTTCAACTGTATTGAAAAATGCTGTGTTAAAAGCACTGTGTGCGGGTGTCCCTAACCAAAACCTCCAGGGGACCATGACAGAACGTCCTATGTTTTAAATGTAATTGGACACAGGAATGTTCTTGCAACGTTCCCATGAAACGTGTCTAGAACATTAATATGTTATCTGAGAACATGGCAACCATGAAAAATTGAAAATATGGCCTACACATATTTTTCAATATTTTTCCCCCGGCCCGAAATTAAAGCTTTTTAAGGAGGAAAATTATGTCTTTGCAGCCTGAATAGAGGATGCTTTGCTTAGCCGGACCATGGGGGACACGAGTGTATTACCGCCCACTGTCGGCTGCCTAGGCTAACTATGAATAAGCCTACACATTTATGCAATCATGTCCATGTTTATAATCATTGCCACTTATAATGAATGTAGGCCTCATATTCCACTTATTTTAATACCCAAATTGCAATTTCTACCCTATTTAATCATATCCCCTTCATCTGAAAAATGTCCCTACCACCACAACACTGCAAGAACTCCCACTGGCTTTTTGCTGTTAGGTTAGTGCAATGGCGCTTGCATACCCGGAAATAGTGTGAGGGGGTGGACCAAGGCAGCAAGCGAGAGAGATAGCATAGGAAGCAGATTTTTTTCGTTACTGTGGCACCCTCGTCACCCCGGGGTCCTCGAGGGAAATGCTGGTGGATTTTTTTTATTGATGTTGGATTATTTACGGTGAAAGGATCTACACTGTCGAGAAGCTTTTGGGAATTTGTTCACTAATTTTCCTGACTCAAGCGCGCACTAGAGCATGAGCGAAGTGGAACAACTTGCAACTATCATAAATTAATCGATTGCAGTTATTTGGTTATTTAAATTATTCTAATCAATACGTAATAACCTGTTGTTCCAAGAAGAGAGAGTCACGATTCACTGATTCACTGACACCTAATTTCATGATTTGATGTCGAGAAGAATAGAATTCAAGACAACAGAAGTTATTTGTTGAAAAACCTAAAAACTATGCAATATACGTTCAATATGTAAATATTATTTTTGGATTATTGCTTGTTGGGGAAAAACATCACCAAAAGGAGCTAATCTATTTTCTCAAGCACTCTCCCATGTCACATTCAACATCAATAGAAATAGTTGCGGTTACGTTATTGTTATAATTTGTGTCAAAACTGAAGGATGACTGTCAAACTGGACTTTGAAGAGTGTCTCAAAGACTCCCCCCGATTCAGGTAGGTCATGATTAACCCTTGAATAATATTTTTAATGACTTGGGGCAACAGTCTACATAGGTTACAGGCATTATTCATGCAGTTACATTATTAGCATTGTAAAGTGAGAGCTAATTTGTAAATTATGCATAAATGTATGTAGCCTACTTACTACCAGCATATTACAGTTATAATAAGTTATAATCGAGGTAGCCTATGTAGGCCTACTGTATGTTTTTTCAGTACATTATTTAGATAGTTTCAAAACTGTTACATGTCCACATAGGGCAAAATGATGACTAGAATCCTGCTTGCATCCTCCCTAACAGTGAGGAAATAGAGAAGTGCTACAAATGTTTTGGTCAAAGTTACCTGTGCAATCTCAATAGATGCTGAGTATTGGCAGTGCATTCTAGTTTAGTCAGCACAACCAGAGGATACACTTGTCAAATTACAAAGTGTCAGCCCTGCAGATGGTTTGCTGTCATGCCTCTTGCTTGGGGTCTGATTTGTCACTGCGATGAGTGAAATGAGTCTGGCTATTGACATGAGGCGCGAGACACTGCCTTTTCTCATTGATGAGACTGGCTTTGTGTGTCGGAATGAAAGAGCGAATTTATAAAACTTTGTTGATTGTTGTAAGCAGGGCTCTAAATGAACCTTTTCATTGGTAGAACTAGTGCTTCCAACTTGAAAATGTTAGTTTAAACAAATATGATACAAATGTAACAGCTGCACCAGACACACAACACAAACGTAAGAACTGTGCTTGCACCGAACAGCACAAATATCATTTTGCCATTCAACGTATTAGGCGCACTGGTGCTATCCAATCAACATTCCAGGTCACACAGCACAATATTTAGGAGCATATGCCACCAAGATGGTTGCAAGCCCAGGTTATAAGTCAATGTAGGAATGCCACACACCAACCTTGGAGTTCTGTCTGGCCTAATCTCTTTCAGAGAGTCAAAACATTTTATTTATTTTAACTCTAAAAAGGAACACAATGTAAAGCCAAAAGGAAAGTGGATTTTGTGTTGGTTTTGAAAGTAGCTAATAAAATAGTTTTGGGAGATCTGGGAGATCATGAGTGACAGTGGTAAGAAACTTCTCTCTCTCTCTCCCTCCCTCCCCCTCTAACTCTCTCTCTCCCTCCCTCCCCCTCTAACTCTCTCTCTCTCCCTCCCTCCCCCTCTAACTCTCTCTCTCTATCTCCCCCTCTAACTCTCTCTCTCTCCCTCCCTCCCCCTCTAACTCTCTCTCTCTCTCTCTCCCTTTCTCTGTCTCTCGGTCTTTGCTGTTTTATCCTTTCTTAATTCTTGTTTGATTAACCTTGTAAGTGGTTAAAGAGCTTATAACTCTCTCTTCCTCTCTCTCTCCTCCCTCCATATACACACACAGGTAGTGTGAATGACTGGAGAGAGAGGAGAGGGTGATGTTATGAGAAAACAGGCTTTGAAAGAGAAGAAAAGAGACAAACATCTCAGTGAATGGAGGATAGAGGAGAGAGGGACATCTCAGAAAAGAGGCATTGAAAGAGGAAAAGAGAGAGGCTAGTACAGTACACATACAGACATAGAGGCCGAGGACTTGGGGTAGTGCTTCAAACTGTGGCCTCCCATTGCTAGGTAACCATGGGAGTGGGCTGGGGTTGTGGAGTGGAACAGGAGGCGAGAGATACAAAGGTGATAAATAGGAGACAGGAAGTGTATTTTTTGGGGGTGGATCATTGCAGAAACTTGAGGTCTCACTCTCTCTCAGGCACACTTACTCATGCACGTTCACACACACAGATACACATTCCTTTTTATCACCATACAAACACAGGCGTGAGCACACACACACACACACACACACACACACACACACACACACACACACACACACACACACACACACACACACACACACACACACACATATTAATGATTACAATGTGTGTCTAATGACACAGGTTTTGTTCCAACCTCATCAATTATATTTTCCACCAAACCTTTGGCAGTCCTGTTTGTATTGGTACCCCTGTCACGCTGGGCTAGGCGATTAGAATATGAAGGATACTGAGCTGACCGACCCAAGACCTGCAGCCTCTGTCTCTACTACACCACCAGCAGACAAACAGACACTGTCTGCCCCTCCTCTCTATATCTTCTCTCTCTCTCTCTCTCTCTCTCTCTCTCTCTCTCTCTCTCTCTCTCTCTCTCTCTCTCTCTCTCTCTCTCTCTCTCTCTCTCTCTCAACTGTTTCTCAGCATCTCCCTCTCTCTCTTTTTGTCTTTCTTCTCTCTCTCAGTATCACTCTGTCTTCAGTAGCAGGCAGCGGAAACCACACTGTCGAGCGTTGATGTGAGAAAGACAGACAGAGAGACAGAGGAGAGGAGATACTGACTCACAGACAAACAGTCACAACAGCCACAATCTCCTTCCACTGGCCTTCTGACAGGCTTTACCCATTTATAAACGTACTAGATGCCAAGTAAAGCATCAAGTGTACTGCTTGAACTCTCATGACGTCTGATATTACAGCCCAACAAAACTTATTGGAGCCACAGACATTTTTACTGTAGATGTGCTAACATTGTTATTGTTATATAACAAGTTCAACATTCAGACCAGTATGGTATTGCCCAAGCAGGGTGTGGATGCATGGGAAAATACCTTCTGCCTAAGTGATGTGGCTTAATGTGCCAAGTAATGTGGCAATGTGTGTGTCTGTGTTTCATCCAGGGCTGCCATTGAAGTGGTGGAAGGAGATGTCTGTGAATTGGAAACTCGATTAGAGAAGGTGAGCGACAGTGAAACGTACACACACACACAAACTTTTTTTCTATCCTCTTGGGGACCTAAAATTGATTTCCATTCAAAATTATTATTTCCCTAACCCTTAACCCTAAACCTTACCCTACCCTAACCGTATTCCATAAACCTAACCCTAAACCCTAACCCTAATTGTAACCCTAATTGTAACCCTAACCCTATACCTAACCCCTAAGCTTAAAATAACCTTTGTCCTCGTGGGGATGTTGGAAATGTCCCCATGAGGGAGAATCTTCCTTGTTTTACTATCCTTGTGGGGACTTTTGGGGATTTCAGGTCCCCTACAAGGATAGAAGAACAAGACACACAGGTCCACCCCCCCCCCCCCCCCCCCCCCCCACCACCCTTTCAATCACTTGATATTCCTAATTCCCTAAAGGGATTGGTGTGCATAACATTTTCAGATGCATACTTTGGTCATTAAAGGTCAGATTCTTGTGAGTCTCAACCTATTTTGTGTCTGAACAGTGATCATATTTGTAGGCGGTGCTATGTCATCTCATGTCCTATTGAAATGTTGTGTCATTCTGTCACGTTCATTTAAGGACGGGTCAGACCAAGGCGCAGCGTGAAATGCGTACATGTTTATTTAAATGATAAACACACAACAAAACAACAAACCAACGAAACGTGAAGTCCGAAGGCTAAACACAATACAAGCCTACTCACGGAACAAGATCCCACAACTAACGAGTGCCAATAGGCTGCCTAAGTATGATCCCCAATCAGAGACAACGAGCGACAGCTGTCTCTGATTGGGAATCGCACCTGGGCCAAACATAGACATACAATCCTAGAATGAAAACATAGAACTACTAACATAGAATATTCACACCCTGACTCAACATATAAGAGTCCCCTGAGTCAGGGCGTGACACATGCTGAATGCATTGTAGTGTGTTTTGACATCTTTTGTAATGTGGAATTGTGTTTTATTGAATCCTGACACATGTACAGTGAGGGAAAAAATTATTTGATCCCCTGCTGATTTTGTACGTTTGCCCACTGACAAAGAAAGGATCAGTCTATAATTTTAATGGTAGGTTTATTTGAACAGTAAGAGACAGAATAACAACAACAAAATCCAGAAAAACGCATGTAAAAAATGTTATAAATTGATTTGCATTTTAATGAGGGAAATAAGTATTTGACCCCCTCTCAATCAGAAAGATTTCTGGCTCCCAGGTGTCTTTTATACATGTAACGAGCTGAGATTAGGAGCACACTCTTAAAGGGAGTGCTCCTAATCTCAGCCTGTTAACTGTATAAAAGACACCTGTCCACAGAAGCAATCAATCAATCAGATTCCAAACTCTCCACCATGGCCAAGACCAAAGAGCTCTCCAAGGATGTCAGGGACAAGATTGTAGACTTACACAAGGCTGGAATGGTCTACAAGACCATTGCCAAGCAGCTTGGTGAGAAGGTGACAACAGTTGGTGCGATTATTCGCAAATGGAAGCAACACAAAATAACTGTCAATCTCCCTCGGCCTGGGGCTCCGTGCAAGATCTCACCTCGTGGAGTTGCAATGATCATGAGAACGGTGAGGAATCAGCCCAGAACTACACGGGAGGATCTTGTCAATGATCTCAAGGAAGCTGGGACCATAGTCACCAAGAAAACAACTGGTAACACACTACGCCGTGAAGGACTGAAATCCTGCAGCGCCCGCAAGGTCCCCCTGCTCAAGACAGCACATATACAGGCCCGTCTGAAGTTTGCCAATGAACATCTGAATGATTCAGAGGAGAACTGGGTGAAAGTGTTGTTGTCAGATGAGACCAAAATGGAGCTCTTTGGCATCAACTCAACTTACATTTACATTTACATTTACGTCATTTAGCAGACGCTCTTATCCAGAGCGACTTACAAATAGGTGCATTCACCTTATAGCCAGTAGTACAACCACTTTACAATGTTTTATTTTATTTTATTTTATTTTTTTAGGGGGGGGGGGGGGGTTGGGGTAAGGGGGGGGGGGTAGAAGCATTACTTTATCCTATCCCAGGTATTCCTTAAAGAGGTGGGGTTTCAAATGTCTCCGGAAGGTGGTGAGTGACTCCGCTGTCCTGGCGTCGTGAGGGAGCTTGTTCCACCATTGGGGTGCCAGAGCAGCGAACAGTTTTGACTGGGCTGAGCGGGAACTATGCTTCCGCAGAGGAAGGGGAGCCAGCAGGCCAGAGGTGGATGAACGCAATGCCCTCGTTTGGGTGTAGGGACTGATCAGAGCCTGAAGGTACGGAGGTGCCGTACCCCTCACAGCTCCATAGGCAAGCACCATGGTCTTGTAACAGATGCGAGCTTCAACTGGAAGCCAGTGGAGTGTGCGGAGGAGCGGGGGTGACGTGAGAGAACTTGGGAAGGTTGAACACCAGGCGGGCTGCGGCATTCTGGATGAGTTGTAGGGGTTTAATGGCACAGGCAGGGAGCCCAGCCAACAGCGAGTTGCAGTAATCCAGACGGGAGATGACAAGTGCCTGGATTAGGACCTGTGCCGCTTCCTGTGTAAGGCAGGGTCGTACTCTCCGAATGTTGTAGAGCATGAACCTACAGGATCGGGTCACCGCCTTGATGTTAGCAGAGAACGACAGGGTGTTGTCCAGGGTCACGCCAAGGCTCTTCGCACTCTGGGAGGAGGACACAACGGAGTTGTCGACCGTGATGGCGAGATCATGGAACGGGCAGTCCTTCCCCGGGAGGAAGAGCAGCTCCGTCTTGCCAAGGTTCAGCTTGAGGTGGTGATCCGTCATCCATACTGATATGTCTGCCAGACATGCAGAGATGCGATTCGCCACCTGGTTATCAGAAGGGGGAAAGGAGAAGATTAGTTGTGTATCGTCAGCGTAGCAATGATAGGAGAGACCATGTGAGGATATGACAGAGCCAAGTGACTTGGTGTATAGCGAGAATAGGAGAGGGCCTAGAACTGAGCCCTGGGGGACACCAGTGGTGAGAGCACGTGGTGCGGAGACAGCTTCTCGCCACCCTACTTGGTAGGAGCGACCGGTCAGGTAGGACGCAATCCAAGAGTGAGCCGCGCCGGAGATGCCCAGCTCGGAGAGGGTGGAGAGGAGGATCTGATGGTTCACAGTATCAAAGGCAGCAGACAGGTCTAGAAGGATAAGAGCAGAGGAGAGAGAGTTAGCTTTAGCAGTGCGGAGAGCCTCCGTGACACAGAGAAGAGCAGTCTCAGTTGAATGACCAGTCTTGAAACCTGACTGGTTTGGATCAAGAAGGTCATTCTGAGAGAGATAGCAAGAGAGTTGGCTAGAGACGCCACGCTCAATAGTTTTGGAGAGAAAAGAAAGAAGGGATACTGGTCTGTAGTTGTTGACATCAGAGGGATCGAGTGTTGGTTTTTTGAGAAGGGGTGCAACTCTCGCTCTCTTGAAGACGGAAGGGACATAGCCAGCGGTCAAGGATGAGTTGATCAGCGAGGTGAGGTAGGGGAGAAGGTCACCGGAGATGGTCTGGAGAAGAGAGGAGGGGATAGGGTCAAGCGGGCAGGTTGTTGGGCGGCCTGCCGTCACAAGTCGCATGATTTTATCTGGAGAGAGAGGGGAGAAAGAAGTCAAAGCATAGGGTAGGGCAGTGTGAGCAGGACCAGCAGTGTCATTTGGCTTAACAAACGAGGATCGGATGTCGTCAACCTTTTTTTCAAAGTGGTTGACGAAGTCATCCACAGAGAGGGAGGGGGGGAGGATTCAGCAGGGAGGAGAATGTGGCAAAGAGCTTCCTTGGGTTAGAGGCAAATGCTTGGAATTTAGAGTGGTAGAAAGTGGCCTTAGCAGCAGAAACAGATGAAGAAAATGTAGAGAGGAGGGAGTGAAAAGATGCCAGGTCCGCAGGGAGTCTAGTTTTCTTCCATTTCTGCTCAGCTGCCCGGAGCTCTGTTCTGTGAGCTCGCAATGAGTCATCAAGCCACGGAGCTGGAGGGGAGGACCGAGCCGGCCGGGAGGATAGGGGACATAGAGAGTCAAAGGATGCAGAAAGGGAGGAGAGGAGGGTTGAGGAGGCAGAATCAGGAGATTGGAGGGAGAAGGATTGAGCAGAGGGAAGAGATGATAGGATGGAAGAGGAGAGAGTAGCGGGAGAGAGAGAGCGAAGGTTGCGACGACGCATTACCATCTGTGTAGGGGCAGAGTGAGTAGTGTTGGAGGAGAGCGAGAGAGAGAAGGATACAAAGTAGTGGTCGGAGACATGGAGGGGAGTTGCAGTGAGATTAGTAGAAGAACAGCATCTAGTAAAGATGAGGTCAAGCGTATTGCCTGCCTTGTGAGTAGGGGGGGACGGTGAGAGGGTGAGGTCAAAAGAGGAGAGGAGTGGAAAGAAGGAGGCAGAGAGAAATGAGTCAAATGTAGACGTAGGGAGGTTGAAATCCCCCAGAACTGTGAGGGGTGAGCCATCCTCAGGAAAGGAGCTTATCAAGGCGTCAAGCTCATTGATGAACTCTCCAAGGGAACCTGGAGGGCGATAGAAGACAAGGATATTAAGCTTAAATGGGCTAGTGACTGTGACAGCATGGAATTCAAATGAGGAGATAGACAGATGGGTTAGGGGAAAAATTGAGAATGTCCACTTGGGAGATATGAGGATTCCTGTGCCACCACCCCGCTGACCAGATGCTCTCGGGGTATGCGAGAACACATGGTCAGACGAGGAGAGAGCAGTAGGAGTAGCAGTGTTTTCAGTGGTAATCCATGTTTCCATCAGCGCCAAGAAGTCGAGGGATTGGAGGGTAGCATAGGCTGGGATGAAGTCTGCCTTGTTGGCAGCAGAACGGCAGTTCCAGAGGCTGCCTGAGACCTGGAACTCCAGGTGAGTGGTGCGTGCAGGGACCACCAGGTTAGAGAGGCAGCAGCCACACGGTGTGAGGCGTTTGTGTAGCCTGTGCGGAGAGGAGAGATCAGGGATAGGCAGAGGCATAGTTGACAGGCTGCAGCAAATGGCTACAATAATGCAGAGGAGATCGGAATGAAATGAACTAAACATCTGGGAAAGGAGAGAGGGGGGCCTCCCTCACCACAACTCCCAAATATAACTCTCCCAACTTCCACCTCAGAAACTATAATTGTTGTAAACTACAGCGGTTCAATGTTTTCTAGGAATAGACTAACTCAGCTAGCTAACTAGGCGCAGCACGAACGGCACGAACACACAGAGAGAGCCAAACTAACGTTAACTCTACACCCATGTCCCGAATTCCCTGAACGACTCGGGCTATCAATATGTAAAAAACAAAACACAGATGTAGGTTATGACTTACCCCTAGCAGCTACTGTTAGCTAGCCAAGTGTAAAGCTAGCCACTGAATTGACTCAGCCAGTTCGCGTCTGTTCGCTAGGTCGTTCCAGCTATTGTTTACTAGTAGCTATCCAGGTAGCAACAAGCTAGCTAAATTTCAAGCACAGTAGCCACTTGCTACCTAACGTTAACGGTTCAGACATGAGGTTAGAAAACAGCTGAATGGTAGGCAATTATTGTATGCAATCATTGTAGGCAGCCAGCTGGCGTAACCACAGGCACTCCCAGGCGTGAAATAACAATACCGTTGCTAATAGCTAATAGCTACTCGCCAGCTAGCCGTGTTTGGAGGAGGAGGAGGAATGCTGCCTATGACCCCAAGAACACCATCCCCACCGTCAAACATGGAGGTGGAAACATTATGCTTTGGGGGTATTTTTCTGCTAAGGGGACAGGACAACTTCACCGCATCAAAGGGACGATGGACGGGGCCATGTACCGTCAAATCTTGGGTGAGAACCTCCTTCCCTCAGCCAGGGCATTGAAAATGGGTTGTGGATGGGTATTCCAGCATGACAATGACTCAAAACACACGGCCAAGGCAACAAAGGAGTGGCTCAAGAAGAAGCACATTAAGGTCCTGGAGTGGCCTAGCCAGTCTCCAGACCTTAATCCCATAGAAAATCTGTGGAGGGAGCTGAAGGTTCGAGTTGCCAAACGTCAGCCTCGAAACCTTAATGACTTGGAGAAGATCTGCAAAGAGGAGTGGAACAAAATCCCTCCTGAGATGTGTGCAAACCTGGTGGCCAACTACAAGAAACGTCTGACCTCTGTGATTGCCAACAAGGGTTTTGCCACCAAGTACTAAGTTTTGCAGAGGGGTCAAATACTTATGTCCCTCATTAAAATGCAAATACATTTATAACATTTTTGACATGCGTTTTTCTGGATTTTTGTTGTTGTTATTCTGTCTCTCACTGTTCAAATAAACCTACCATTAAAATTATAGACTGATCATGTCTTTGTCAGTGGGCAAACGTACAAAATCAGCAGGGGATCAAATACCTTTTTCCCTCACTGTAGCATTGTGTAGTATCCATGTTGTGTTGTATCTTGACACTTGTTGTTGTGTTGTGTAGCTGGTGAAGCAGTGCCACTCCATGCTAGAGGCTGGCAGGGCCTATTGTCAGACCAGCAAGAGCTTTGTCACAGGGCTCAAAGAGCTGGGCCACCACTGTTCTGGGGACAACATGATGGGGGTGAGTCTATAGAGATTCTGGGTAATACACTCTAAGCACTGATTTGGGATCAGTGTAGAAGGAACCTAACTGTATAGGTCCTATTACTCATAGTAAATTCATATGAAGGGAAGTGAAAGTTCTGTTCTATTGTATTCAGTCATTGAAAAAAAGAAAAAAAACTGACTAATTCTATGTTATTTTCTCATCCAGGAGTGTTTGGAGAAATTCTCCAAGAAGCTGGCAGTGATTCTTGAAGCTCAGGGGGTGAGTTGGACTCCTCTATTGTGCATCGCTTTTAACATGAGTTACTGTAGCAACCACTATTAAATGTCAGGTGTCTGAGTATCTCTGTCTCTCTCTCGTTCTCTGTCTCGCTCTGTTTCTTTCTCTGTCTCCCTATGTGTCTCTCTCTCTCGCTCGCTCTCTTTCTCACTCTCTTTTTCTCATAGGAAGTGATTGAAACCACACAGAAGTCGGTGAAGTTGAAGTTGCTGAGTTTTGTGAAAGAGTGAGTGAGTCTGGCACTCCTTCCTCATTCAGTCCTCTTTGCCCAAACTACTACCATACACTGCTTTCACAACATCTCCTAATCCAGTCCCACCCACCTCTGGTCTGAAAGGGCCACTCCCTAGCATTCAATTATGCTACCCCCTTATCCCTCCCTCCCTCCCTCTCTCTCCCCCTCCCCTTCTCCCAGGGACGTGCGTCGGTTCAAGGATGTGCGTAAGGAGTTTGAGCGGGACAGTGAGAGTCTGGAGGCGGCATTGGGGAGGAACGCTCAGGCCCCCCGGGGAAAACAGCACGAGGTGGAAGAGGCCAGCCATGCCCTCCTCAACGCCCGCAAGACCTTCCGCTCCGGAGCCCTCGACTACGTACTGCAGGTGAGGGCATCCAAGGTGGATGGTTGAGGGAGATGGAGGGGTGCGTGTTTGCCTGTGTACACACACTGGCATGGCTGTAGAAACATGCTTTAATTGACACGCCCAAATGCATTTTCAGCATGTTAGTTTGACTTTGAATTGGGTTTGAGTGGTTTGCTTGAAATTGAATTACAGGCCAGTATTGAAACGATCAGTTCTAGACTGGAATGTTTTTCATTCCACAGCTGGCTTGCTTTCTGAGAACATGGATACTACTCAAAGGCCTCAAACAGAATGCTAGATCATTTTATACATAACAGATGTCAGGGCCAGGCCATATTTCTAACAAATGAATTAATATAATATGCAACAGCACCTATGTTTAGGAACATGTGTTTTGCTGTGGTGAATGATAACAGCATTGCCTGAGGGTTTCCCTGTAGGATGCTGGTCACTATACATACCCAGAGGTTCGTACTACCTGCAATCATAACAACACACATGTTCTGTTCCCTCCTGTTCACAAACTCTCCTAGATCAATGTCATCGAGGCCAAGAAGAAGACCGACATCCTAATGGCGGTGCGTTTCATCATGTGGGAACTTTTATTGTTGGGAGTATTGTAAATGTTCCATGGTTAAGTCCACATGTGGGTGTGTAATAATTTGTTTACTTGAGCAGTTGTTGAGTTCTTTTTATGCTTGCATGTATTGTTTAGAAGGTAGTTGGTTGTATGAAAACGCTTTGCTTTGTGTTTTTCTGTCAGATTGTGTCTATGATGGAGGCCCAGTCCCAGTTCTTCCAGCAAGGTCACCAGTCCCTCTCGGAGCTGGACGACTACCGCCGCACCCTGAGTGAAGAGGTAACAAGAGCATGTGAAGGAATGAGAGGGAGGAAGGGAGAGGGAGAAGTGTGTTGGATAAACCAAATTCATAGATGAAGAGATCTGTTCAAGTACATTGTTCAGATGTTGAAATTAGGGAACAGAGAGAGAGAGTGGGGTAAAAAGAGTTTATGAGAGAGAGTGGAAGAGAAGAGGGGGATGAATTCATCTCCTCTTAGTTGGATGGTGAAAAGGTTTATTCTAACAGTTGATTCCATTGATTAATTAGTACATGAGTCCTAACAATGTGGTCCAGAGGGATGAGGAAGTCACAAGGTGACGTCCCTCTCATCGTGACAGGAAACAGTGTGGGCACCGTCAACAGGAAACATTTCACATGACTGAGAAAGTGTGTGTTTGTGTGTGTGTGTGTGTGTGCCTGCGTGTGCCTGCGTGCGCGCATGTGTGTGTGTGAACACGTGCGTGCGTGTTTTCATCTAGTCATACAGTAACGTTTGTGCTACGTTGGATGAGCACTGTAGCATAACTGGAAGTGCTACTATACATGGAGCACTAGGCCTGAAGGCAACAGTAGACTCAAACTAACAGGAAGGTTAGTCAGAGAGAAGCTCGAAACCGGAAAGCAAGTCACCTTTCACTGGAGCATTAAAGCCACAAAGACTGTTTTAGCTCTTCCTGCTGTTACAGGAAATGGCGAAAGAGTGATAGGCAGAATGAGAGAGAGAAAGAACGAGAGGGCAAGAGAATGTACAAATACCTGCAGAAGGTGTTTAAAGACTGCTGGATCGACTGAAACCTTAATGGGAAAGAGAGGGAGAAAGTAAAGCTGCTATAAGAAGCTGCTGGAGGGTTTTCCTTGATCCTCCATGCAGCAACAGAAAGTTGGGAGAGGTTCAGCACTTCCTCCTTCCTGTTTCCCCAAGAGGAGGAAGTCTGGATTGATGGACTCCCTGATCTCCAGCTAAAAGCTGTCCAAGCCAGAAGCCCTTAATCTCCTAGCCTGAGTTTCCTCAACAGTTTCTACATGAATCTCTACAACTTTACATCAAAAACATACACTGTTCCAGTATAATGTGTACATTATTCTCTATATTTTGTTCCCTGACCGAACTGGCCTATCATGCTGCACTGCCGTGTGTGATATAGGAAAATGTGCATCATTTGAAACATATTGCATTCTGTGTTTTTTAAATCAAATTGTTTGTGCCTGACTCTCTCTTTTCTCTCTCACACACACAGCACACTCAACTAGTGTTGAATTCTGCCAGGGAGAAGAGAGACATGGAACAGAGACATGCTGCCATTAAGAAAAAGGTGAACACTGCTGGAACCAAACTAAACACAGGCCACCAAGATGGCTGCCATGTTATTACACTAGAAGCAAAGATTTTTATAACTAAACCAAGATAGACCACAGCCTGTCGTTTCCAATGGGAACAAATTAGTCATAGTAGGCAGAACAAGCAAGGATGTGGGCAGAGCCAAGCATGAACTAGCGAGATCCAATTGGTGCTTTCTAGCATGCATCTGCATATTTCCCTTAGGGAACGCCACCTCTGTGAAGTGCCGTGTGCAAAAACTCAATTCGCCTTTGCAATCTAAACAACGTGATTTTTATAATTTTTTGTGAAGGGTCAAGTCTACAAAACGTAGTCCACTTTGTTCAGAACATATTCTAGTTTTGGGAACAGAAAACTGTATTGAGATCAAATGTTTTATCGGTGAGAAAATTTGCAGAATGTCGGCCAAAATCCATCTCGTTCCATCTTCTCCCACTGCCGGCCAGTGGGCTTCCTCTCACTACCATATTTGGTAGTGAGTGGAAACGCCAAGGGGATGCTTCACATTTATACATCCAGTGAAATATCTGTCTCATTGTTCTATCTGTGCTAGAAGTCTCCAACCTGTGAAAATACAGCTTAGTCAAACCTGATGAAGTCATCACTTCCTGTTAGACATAGCTTGGTGATCTACTGGCATCACTGCATTGCAATGATAACATCCCTTCCCTACAGTAATGTTTATGTTTGTGTTGGCAGGATGTCTCCTATGATAACTCCTTAATGGATTTCTGTGCTGACGCACCCAACGGTATCGCCATGGAGGGCTACCTGTATAAGAGAGCTAGCAACGCCTTCAAGACCTGGAGCAGGTATGTTACCCCACCACTCTCTTTCTCTCTCCCTCTCTCTTTCTCTCTACTGTATGTTGTTCTCTCCCTCTTTCACATTCTCTCACGCTCTATTTCTCTCTCCTTTGTCTCTTGGATATTTTTAAGGCTGTAGCCTAGGAAGTAGTGGAGGCTGCTGAGGGGATGACGGCTCATTGTAAGGGCTGGAATGGAAACCACGTTTGAAACCATTCTATTGACTCTATTCAAGGCAATATTATGAGCCATCCTCCCCTCAGCAGCCTCCACTGCTAGGAAGGTGATGGGTAGAATCAGGATGAAGCTGATGATTGCATTATTCATTCTCATCTTCTTTTGATCTCATGTCTCACGACTGTAGGCGCTGGTTCTCTATCCAGAAAAATCAACTGGTCTATCAGAAGAAATTCAAGGTGAATTTTTTAATGCCACTGTTTTACTATTCAATGCATTTTTAATAGCAATCCATGTAGAGACAAAGAGAATGAAGTGCACACACACACACACACACACACACACACACACACACACAGACACACACACACACACACACAGACACACAGACACAGACACACACACAGACACACACACACACAGCCTGACCATGTCCTTCTTTCTCTCAGGACCAGCCCACAGTAGTGATTGAGGATCTGCGTCTTTGTACAGTGAAGGTCTGCGCTGACAACGAGAGACGATTCTGCTTCGAGGTGGTCTCTCCATCCAAGTGAGTCTACAGTAGTGTGTGTGTGTGTCGGTATATACAGTGAAAGTAGGGATGTGTGTGTGTTGATGTTGCTTTAGATATTTGTTTAGGGTGTTTAGTGTTAACATAGTGAGTGTGTGTGTGTGTGTGTGTGTGTGTGTGTGTGTGTGTGTGTGTGTGTGTGTGTGTGTGTGTGTAGGAGCTGTCTGTTGCAGGCAGACTCTGAGCGTCAGCAGCAGGGCTGGATCAGTGCTGTCCAGAACAGCATCGCTTCAGCCTTCCAGGAACGCAGAGAAGACCCACACTGTCCAGTGAGAAAACACACTAACATTATTCATTCTCACTACACGTGTTTCAGAAGCAGGGTTGTAGCTCATTGTCTACACCAGTATTTCCCAACCCTGGTCCTTGAGTACTCCCAACAGTACACAGTTTAGTTGTAGCCCTTGACAAGCACAACTCATTCAACTGATTGAGAGCTTAATGATTAGTTGACAAGTTGAATCAGGTATGCTTGTCCAGGGTTACATAAACAATGTGTACTGTTGGGGGTACTGGAGGACCAAGGTTGGGAAACATTGGTCTACACAAAGTATAGGAATCAACACACTCACTTTCATTCAATATGTTTGTGTGTGTACATCTCTCTCTCTCTCTCTCTCTCTCACACACAGAGGGAGCGTTGCAGCTCTGTGTCGGGAGGCAGCCCAGGAGGAGGAGGGCTGTGTGGGGAGCAGGAGAAGACGGGGGGCTGCGAGGCTTTGGAGATGGTCCAGACCATCCCGGGGAACATGCAGTGTTGCGACTGTGGAGAGCCCGGTCCGGACTGGGCCTCTATCAACCTGGGGATCACCCTCTGCATCGTCTGCTCGGGGATACACAGGTACACACACACACACACACACACACACGCGCGCGCAAACACACACACAAACTAATATGTAACTACCTCCCCTCTTCTGTGTCCTTCTGACAGGAGTCTGGGCGTCCATTTCTCCAAAGTACGCTCCCTCACCCTGGACTCCTGGGAACCAGAGCTGGTCCGGGTAAGAATACATCCACTACACTGCCTTTGGATTCATCTCAATAGTGTAACATTACTAGACTAATGTCAGGGGGGGTACTGTACATGCGTTTTAGAATGTGTTAAAAGTCTATGTAGAAATATACTTTCTTTATTCAATATAAACACAACTGAAGTGTGTGTTTATCCTTCCTCCCTGTCCTGTAGTTGATGTGTGAGTTGGGAAACACAGCCATCAACAGGATCTACGAGGCGCGAATTGATGAGATCACCATCAAGAAACCCCACCCATCCAGTCCAAGGTATGAACTATCTCACTCCCCACTCTCACTTTCATTCCTCGGGTCATGAGTCATCACTTTTTATTAATCTCACATTGACAGTCAAGATTTAATAGCGTTGCTGTGTGATTTTATTGAAGTTATATTAAGGATAATGGAACAGAACATTCATAGAAATATATTGTGTAGACCAGACATGATTCTGTATTGTGTATATACTGTAGAGTAGCTCTATTCATTATATCTTTATCCGCAACATTCAAAACATTTCAAATTCTGTTGAAGCCCCAGGGATAAGAATTCCCCCTTCATCTCCTCCTGGTGTCACTAACATGAACCTGCAGGGAGATGTTTTACAGTTTTTCCTTATTACACTTTACATGCATACTGCTAAATGTAAGCTATCCTTTTTCTTTGCTCAATATGCCAACATTCTTTCTTTAAGTACACTACATGACCAAAAGTATGTGGACACCTGCTCGTCGAACATCTCATTCCAAAATCATGGGCATTAATATGGAGTTGGTCCCCCCTTTGCTGCTATAACAGTCTCCACTCTTCTGGGAAGGCTTTCCACTAGATGTTTCTAACATTGCTGCGGAGACTTGCTTCCATTCAGCCATTAGTGAGGTCAGGCACTGACTTTTGTATGTACAGTGCATTCGGAAAGTATTCAGACCCCTTGACTTTTTCCACATTTTGTTACATTACAGCCTTATTCTAAAATGGATAACATTTATTTTCCTCATTAATCTACACACAATACCCCATAATGACAAAGCGAAAACAGGTTTTTTGATTTTTTTTGCAAATGTAATTTTATTTACATAAGTATTCAGACCCTTTGCTATGAGACTCGGAATTGAGCTCAGGCGCATCCTGTTTCCATTGATCATCCTTGAGATGTTTCTACAACTTGATTGGAGTCCACCTGTGGTAAATTCAATTGATTGGACATGATTTGGAAAGGCACACGCCTGTCTATATAAGGTCCCACAGTTGACAGTGCATGTCAGAGCAAAAACCAAGCCATGAGGTTGAAGGAATTGTCCGGAGAGCTCCGAGACAGGATTGTGTCGAGGCACAGATCTGGGGAAGGGTACCAAAAAATATCTGCAGCATTGAAGGTCCCCAAGAACACAGTGGCCTCCATCATCCTTAAATGGAAGAAGTTTGGAACCACCAAGATTCTTCCTAGAGCTGTCCGCCTGGCCAAACTGAGCAATCGGTGGAGAAGGGCCTTGGTCAGGGAGGTGACCAAGAACCCGATGGTCACTCTGACAGAGCTCCAGAGTTCCTCTGTGGAGATGGGAGAACCTTCCAGAAGGACAACCATCTCTGCAGCACTCCACCAATCAGGCCTTTAGTGGCCAGACGGAAGCCACTCCTCAGTAAAAGGCACATGACAGCCCACTTGGAGTTTGCCAAAAGGCACCTAAAGACTCTCAGACCATGAGAAACAAGATTCTCTGGTCTGATGAAACCAAGATTGAACTCTTTGGCCTGAATGCCAAGCGTCACGTCTGGAGGACGTGGAAATGTTTTTCAGCGGCAGGGACTGGGAGACTAGTCAGGATTTAGGGAAAGATTAACGGAGCAAAGTACAGAGAGATCCTTGATGAAAACCTGCTCCAGAGCGCTCAGGACCTCAGACTGGGGCGAAGGTTCACCTTCCAACAGGACAATGACCCTATGCACACAGCCAAGACAACGCAGGAGTGGCTTCGGAACAAGTCTCTGAATGTCCTTGAGTGGCCCAGCCAGAGCCTGGACTTGAACCCGATAGAACATCTCTGGAGAGACCTGAAAATAGCTGTGCAGCGACGCTCCTCATCCAACCTGACAGAGCTTGAGAGGATCTGCAGAGAAGAATGGGAGAAACTCCCCAAATACAGGTGTGCCAAGCTTGTAGCGTCATACCGAAGAAGACTCGAGGCTGTTATTGCTGCCAAAGGTGCTTCAACAAAATACTGAGTAAAGGGTCTGAATACTTATATAAATGTGATATTTCAAAAAAAAATTGGTTATAAATTTGCAAAGATTTCTAAAAGCCTGTTTTTGCCTTGTCATTATGGGGTATTGAGTGAGGGGGAAAAAACTATTTCATCCATTTTAGAATAAGGCTGTATTGTAAAAAAAAATGTAGAAAAAGTCAAGGGGTCTGAACACTTTTCGAATGCCCTGTATAGTGTATCTGACTTCCTCTTTTCTTCTCCTCTGATGCACCCCAGACAGGAAGTTACACAGGTACATGACGACGGCTGTGGTTTGTGTCGTATCATGACAACGACTGTGGTTTGTGTCGTAACTAAACTGTCCCCCAGAAATGTGCTGTGCAACTGCATGGCTTTGTAAAACAGTACAGGGAGGGCTGAATTGAACTGAATTGTGATGATGATGGTTTGATAATGTGCATTACTGTGTATGAAATTCATTTGATTTGATATATTGTTTTAATCAAATTGCTTTTATGATCTGACACTCTTGCCTTCCTTTATTTATCTCTATCCATATCTCTTTCTCCATCTCTCTCGCTCCACCCTCTCTCTCTCTCTCTTTCTCCATCTCTCTCTCTCTCCCGCTCTCTCTCTCTATCGCTCTGTCAGGGGTGATAAGGAGTCGTGGATCCATTCTAAGTACGTGGAGAAGACGTTTATCCAGAAGCTCCCAGAGACGGGACATAACGCTCCCCTGCGGCGCTCCAGCGCCCGGAGGAACAGGGCTAACACCCAGGAGAGGCCAGCCGGGTCACGACCCCCACTCAAACCCAAACCCAACCGGGCCACCCTGCCACGACTCGCAGGTACTGGACAGGACATACATGCTTATCTGATTCACACTATAGGGTCAAACCGAGCAGAGCTGTAACGGGCTGGCCTGGTTACGCATTACATTACAACTGATCAGGTATGCAAATCAATAGTGTATACATTTCTGCCTCCTATTAAAGAGATGTTGATGTTCTTTACACAGTCTGCTGATGGACTGGTAGGTGTTGAGGTGTTATAAGTCCTGATCCAGTACAGATGTGTGTCCAGGTGTCATGCGACGTGTATGCGGTAGCGAAGTCAAAAGCAGGACACAGAGCGGCTGGCAACGTTATTTACTGAACACAGTAAAATCAACGTACACAACAACAAACCTCCAAAACAGGGAGGAAAGCACAAAGACCCGTACATACACGAACTGCCGGAAATGACAACAAACAATAACACACAAAATACGAAATGAGAGACAGGGGTAAATATAGGGAATACAATCAAACATAATGGGGAACAGGTGTAAACAATAAAGACTAAACAAGACAAACACCGAAACATCGATCGGCAGCAGCTAGTAATCAAATCAAATCAAATCAAATTTTATTGGTCACATGCGCCGAATACAACAGGTGCAGACATTACAGTGAAATGCTTACTTACAGCCCTCCGGGGACGACGAACGCCGAAGCCTGCCCGAGCAAGGAGGAGGAGCAGCCTCGGCTGAATCCGTGACAGTACCCCCCCCCCCCCCCCCCCCCCTTGACGCGCGGCTCCAGCCGTGCGCCGACCCCGGCCTCGGGGACGGCCAGGAGGACGCGGAGCAGGGCGAGTCGGATGACTCCGGTGGAAATCCCTCAACAGGGAGGGATCTACAATGTCCCTCCTAGGGACCCAGCACCATTCCTCCGGACCGTACCCCTCCCACTCCACGAGATACTGCAGACCCCCCATCCGACGCCTCGAATCCACGATGGACCGGACTGAGTACGCCGGAGCCCCCTCGATGTCTAGTGGGGGTGGAGGAGCCTCTCGAATCTCATTCTCCTGGAGTGGACCAGCTACCACCGGCCTGAGGAGAGACACATGGAACGAGAGGTTAATGCGGTAATTAATGGGCAGTTGTAACCTATAACATACCTCGTTCAATCTCCTCAGGACTTTAAATGGCCCCACCAACCGCCGACCCAGCTTCCGGCAGGACAGGCGAAGGGGCAGGTTTCGGGTCGAGAGCCAGACCCGATCTCCCGGTGCATAAACCGGACCCTCACTGCGGTGGTGATCGGCGCTCGCCTTTTTCCGTCTGATAGCCCGCTGCAGATGGACATCCGCAGCGTTCCATGTTTCCTCCGAGCGCCGAAACCACTCATCCACCGCAGGAGCTTCGATCTGGCTCTGATGCCATGGTGCCAGGACCGGCTGATACCCCAACACACACTGAAAAGGCGTAAGATTAGTGGAGGAGTGGCGGAGTGAGTTTTGGGCTATCTCTGCCCAGGGGATACAGTGGGGGAAAAAAGTATTTAGTCAGCCACCAATTGTGCAAGTTCTCCCACTTAAAAATATGAGAAAGGCCTGTAATTTTCATCATAGGTACACATCAACTATGACAGACAAATTGAGAAGAAAAAAAATCCAGAAAATCACATTGTAGGATTTTTAATGAATTTATTTGCAAATTATGGTGGAAAATAAGTATTTGGTCACCTACAAACAAGCAAGATTTCTGGCTCTCACAGACCTGTAACTTCTTCTTTAAGAGGCTCATCTGTCCTCCACTCGTTACCTGTATTAATGGCACCTGTTTGAACTTGTTATCAGTATAAAAGACACCTGTCCACAACCTCAAACAGTCACACTCCAAACTCCACTATGGCCAAGACCAAAGAGCTGCCAAAGGACACCAGAAACAAAATTGTAGACCTGCACCAGGCTGGGAAGACTGAATCTGCAATAGGTAAGCAGCTTGGTTTGAAGAAATCAACTGTGGGAGCAATTATTAGGAAATGGAAGACATACAAGACCACTGATAATCTCCCTCGATCTGGGGCTCCACGCAAGATCTCACCCCGTGGGGTCAAAATGATCACAAGAACGGTGAGCAAAAATCCCAGAACCACACGGGGGGACCTAGTGAATGACCTGCAGAGAGCTGGGACCAAAGTAACAAAGCCTACCATCAGTAACACACTACGCCGCCAGGGACTCAAATCCTGCAGTGCAAGACGTGTCCCCCTGCTTAAGCCAGTACATGTCCAGGCCCGTCTGAAGTTTGCTAGAGTGCATTTGGATGATCCAGAAGAGGATTGGGAGAATGTCATATGGTCAGATGAAACCAAAATAGAACTTTTTGGTAAAAACTCAACTCGTCGTGTTTGGAGGACAAAGAATGCTGAGTTGCATCCAAAGAACACCATACCTACTGTGAAGCATGGGGGTGGAAACATCATGCTTTGGGGCTGTTTTTCTGCAAAGGGACCAGGACGACTGATCCGTGTAAAGGAAAGAATGAATGGGGCCATGTATCGTGAGATTTTGAGTGAAAACCTCCTTCCATCAGCAAGGGCATTGAAGATGAAACGTGGCTGGGTCTTTCAGCATGACAATGATCCCAAACACACCGCCCGGGCAACGAAGGAGTGGCTTCGTAAGAAGCATTTCAAGGTCCTGGAGTGGCCTAGCCAGTCTCCAGATCTCAACCCCATAGAAAATCTTTGGAGGGAGTTGAAAGTCCGTGTTGCCCAGCGACAGCCCCAAAACATCACTGCTCTAGAGATCTGCATGGAGGAATGGGCCAAAATACCAGCAACAGTGTGTGAAAACCTTGTGAAGACTTACAGAAAACGTTTGACCTGTGTCATTGCCAACAAAGGGTATATAACAAAGTATTGAGAAACTTTTGTTATTGACCAAATACTTATTTTCCACCATAATTAGCAAATAAATTCATTAAAAATCCTACAAGGTGTTCATCACCCCTTCCATGGCGGTGCCAAGATCCTGGATCATGGCCGCTTGTTGGATAACGCGCTCCTCCAGTGATCCCGCTGGCACCGTCGCTCCTGCTGACTCCATGGAAGGTGTGTTATTCTGTCATGCGACGTGTCTGCGGTAGCGAAGTCAAAAGCAGGACACAGAGCGGCTGGCAACGTTATTTACTGAACACAGTAAAATCAACGTACACAACAACAAACCTCCAAAACAGGGAGGAAAGCACAAAGACCCGTACATACACAAACTGCCGGAAATGACAACAAACAATAACACACAAAATACCAAATGAGAGACAGGGGTAAATATAGGGAATAAAATCAAACATAATGGGGAACAGGTGTAAATAATAAAGACTAAACAAGACAAACACCGAAACATCGATCGGCAGCAGCTAGTACTCCGGGGACGACGAACGCCGAAGCCTGCCCGAGCAAGGAGGAGGAGCAGCCTCGGCTGAATCCGTGACACCAGGTCAGGAATGTAAGCGATGCAGGTGCTGTGGGTTATTTGTGTCTGTCCAAGGGATAGATAAGAGGATAGATACCAACGACAGAAATTCCACAACACACACACACACACACACACACACACCATAAACTTGGTGACACAGCAAAAAGCGGTAAGCTTGGGTACATTGTTGTAGTGTGTGTATTGTTATAATCAGCAGGATAAACCTGTCATCTTGTGGTCTGTTGCTGTACTGAAGGAATGTCATGTGACGCTCTCTCTCTCTCCCCTCAGGGCTCAACCAGAGTGACCTTGTCCAAAACAACAATACTGGCATTCACAAAGGTGACACAAACACACACAGAGATGCCCCCCCCCCACACACACACACACACACTCCCCCACCACCCCCACCCCACACACACATACACACAAACAAAAACCCTGTCATCCCTCCACAGATTATGAAGATGAGGAAGAGGAGGACCTGTCTGGTCTTCATCCCGGGGCGTTGTTATATCGGTCTGCAGCGCTGCAGCATTTCCCTGTCATGGCCGACGCCCTGGCCCATGGAGCTGACGTCAACTGGGTCAACACAGCCGAGGGGTCCAGCACCCCACTCCTACAGGCCGTCACCGCGGTGAGGAGAGAGAGAGAGAGTGTGTGTGTGTGTGTGTGTTTAGAAGAGATCGAGCAGGTTTGTGTGAATGTATCTGTTGTGTGTATATGCTCACTGGCCCTCTGACTCCTGTCTCTCCAGAACTCCTTGGCAGCGTGTGAGTTCCTGCTACAGAACGGTGCCAATGTTAACACAGCAGACAGTAACGGGAGAGGACCTCTACACCACGCCACTATACTGGGGCACACTGGGTAGGATGGACACACACACACACACACACACACACACACACACACACACACACACACACACACTAACCTGGTCCCTGTCTCCCAGGCTTGTGTGTCTGTTCCTGAAGCGAGGGGCAGACTACAACGCCAGAGACAACACCCAGAAAGACCCCATTACTATCGCCGTGGAGACAGCCAACGCTGACATCGTCACCCTGTGAGTATAAACTTCAGTTGATTTGTTGACACTAGAAAGATTGATTGATTTTCTCACGACTCTGCTTTCTCCTGACAGGCTGCGAATTGCCAAGATGAACAAGGAGATGCGTGAGATGGACGGAGCCTTTGGCCAACCAGGTCACTCAGGGGGACAGGGAGTGGGCGGGACAGGGAGTGGGATGGGCCAAACCAGGAAGGGACTTCAGGCCTTGAAGAAGCAACTGAGTGGATGGGCACTAGGGGGGCAGAATGAGTAGAGAGAGGGGGACTGGCATTCGTAACTGAGGAGAGAACAGATAGGGAGGAGGAGGGGTACTGCTGAGGTGCATAGGCTACTCGGCTAACAGTTCCCAGTAAGTTGTGAGGTAACATTAAAATATATATATATATATTTTTTAACATTACAGGCTGATGTTAAAATTATGTTTTGATTGATTTCTGGAATCATTGCTGGACCCTTCCTAGAGTGCTAAAAATAATAGGTTAGGGGAACGTTCTTGGAACTTATATGGGGAACGTTCCTGGAACTGAGAATTGTTAACTGGATTACTGGGTAGGGACGATTTCCTGTAACTCAGTAGAGGGAGTAGAGAGGGGGAGTAGAGTGAATGCAGTTTGAGTAGAGGGATAACTAGAATACAGGGTAAATGTATGGACAAGAGGCTTCTATACTGTAGTCTTTCTGTATGTGGGAAGAGGTGGCCATTTTGGGAATATAATACTAAAGGGAAAAACAGGGAAAAGGAGAGAACCAGGGAAAAGGAGAGAACATACCGTAGAAGAGGAAGGAGGGACGTTTAAGGGAGTGTTTATGTAATGACATGTATGCACACCCATGAGTGAGTCCACGTTGCACTTTGATGTAGAATTAATGAACGCAGTTAGTCATCCTGCACTTTACAGCCCATATAAGCTCTATGTAGATCACAGAGTATGATAACACTGGGCATTGGCCATGTTTAACATATATTTATACACCTATATATAAGTGTACAGTTCTATATGGACTAATGTATTGTATGATAGCACAGGATGTTGCCTGAAAAAGAAGGAATCTGATTGTTTAGGTTGTCTAGTCATGTACATTTTATGTACCTTGCATAGTGTAATTGAGTCTGCTGTATGTGTAGTAAGTCCAACAACCAATGCTTTTTTCACTTATACAACTGTATGTTCCCCCATTTCCCAGGCTTACTTTAACCTTTTCAAACGGACTCTTTTGTCAAACCTAAGTGGTTATTATTGTGTTTGACCGGTTTCAAATACACACTGCCACTGTTTAAGCATTGCTTTTGCTTGAGAATAAGAACTTGATGCTGAGAACATAAAGATGTACAGGAAGTAATTAGCCTGTCCATTGTAGTTCAGTGTTTTCCAAACAGTGGCTCGGGGCCCACTGCTGGTTTATGTTGTGGCCAGTCTTAGGCTGCTGGTCAAGCCTGGGTCGTGGCTGTTATAAACATGTTTTTGTCTATCGGGACAATGAACAATGCACAATGCTTAAACATTTGGGAACCACTGGTCTAAACCCATCGGTTAGCCAGTAAGCCTAGCAGATGCAACTGATTTGGGCTGGATCAGTGGACTCTCACTGGGCAGAGCTGCAATATTTCTGCGCTGTGTTGTATGAGAGAGAGTGTCCCATCCATTCTTCCATGGCCAAACTGTCTGCCAAGTCTGTTCCAAGTCCAATTGATTTACTCCAGTACTGACACAATAACTCACTATTTTAAATATTCTAACTCAAATAATATGTCTGGCCCTGGAGGACTGAGGTTGTGATGCTCATGTAATGTCTATACTTGGAGATGCTTAATTTGTCTGTCAGTCTCTGATATGCAGTGCTTTCTCATTGTTGTCTTGTGAGCCTTTGTGTTTGTCCAATGAGGCGACTGCCTGTTCTGCGCTGCTTGCACAGTGTGTCCCTTGATGCCCCCACCTTACAGCGCTACAGGTAAACAGTGTGCCTCCAAGTGCATTCATGTTTATAGTAGTAGTTTAATGTGGACAAATTGAGAGAGAGAAAATAGGGCGGCTAAGGACAGAAATGTACTGTACAGACAATACTTCCCCCCCCCGAAATTAAACAAATTACATTAACGTAAAAATGTCTTCATGCTCTCTTCCTGAATGTTCTTCTCATGTCTTGTTTTCCTAAGGTGATGAAACGTACCAGGACATCTTCAGGGACTTCTCTCACATGGCCTCTAACAACCCGGAGAAACTCAAACGGCGCAGCACAGACTATAAGACTTGAGCTACCTGACTGCTGTTTCTTATGTATGCTGTTGTTATGCTGTTTTCCTTCTTTTTTTTGTCACACACACGCCGACACAGACAAATGACAAACACACATTTGCTGGCCACCTGCTCTGCGTTAGGTCATTGCTCAGCTGGTGATTACTCTAGTAGAGGCTCCGGTCCAACAGTAATCTCTTTGTGTTTGGATGCTAGAGGAGAACACTCAGGCTAAGTGGCTACATGAAACACTTGTTGGAGGAGATGGAACCAGATTTACAGCCTAATAATGACAGAGAATACAGTAATAACTTCCCATTAAATGATTTATTTCCTAATTTAATTTAGTCTAGCGATGCCATCTGACCTGATCTCATCTCGTAAACTCGACTTTAAGGCTATGTTTCCCACAACTACTGTAGAACAAAAAAAGTGCCATTTTAATTGTTGTATTGCTTTTTGTTGAGCCTTCTCAATGTACTGTAAGTTGTGACAAAAGAAAAGGAGGGAGATGTTTGAAGCAAAGGGTAAAATTGTTGTATGTGCTCTTGTACTTTTCTTCATCATTTCGGATGTGATGTTTCTTTGTATATCATGTTTATTTGTGGGGTTTTCTATTGGCTGTGTGAGCTACCAGAGCTGTATTTCTTGCGGACAATTAAAATACCAGTTAATTTAAGTTTCTGTGTAAAGTCATTCAATGGACCTAAATATAACATGCAGTATAACACAAGTAGTGTTATTATAAGTATAACAAGCCGTACAACACAGTATAATTTGTCAAATATGGATTTACACAACCGGTCAAAAGTTTTACAACACCTACTCATTCAAGGGTTTTTCTTTATTTTTACTATTTTCTACATTGTAGAATAATAGTGAAGATGTCAAAACTATGAAATAACACATATGGAATCATGTAGTAACCAAAGAAGTGTTAAACAAATCAAAATATATTGTATATTTGAGATTCTTCAAATAGCCACCCTTTTATTTTTTTTAGGGGGTAGATCAGCTTTAATATTGCAGATCACTTCCAATGTTTTTTTCTGCAAATATACACTGCTCAAAAAAATAAAGGGAACACTAAAATAACACATTCTAGATCTGAATGAATGAAATAATCTTATTAAATACTTTTTTCTTTACATAGTTGAATGTGCTGACAACAAAATTACACAAAAATTATCAATGGAAATCAAATGTATCAACCCATGGATGTCTGGATTTGGAGTCACCCTCAAAATTAAAGTGGAAAACCACACTACAGGCTGATCCAACTTTGATGTAATGTCCTTAAAACAAGTCAAAATGAGGCTCAGTAGTGTGTGTGGCCTCCACGTGCCTGTATGACCTCCCTACAACGCCTGGGCATGCTCCTGATGAGGTGGCTGATGGTCTCCTGAGGGATCTTCTCCCAGACCTGGACTAAAGCATCCGCCAACTCCTGGACAGTCTGTGGTGGATGGAGCGAGACATGATGTCCCAATTGGATTCAGGTCTGGGGAACGTGCAGGCCAGTCCATAGCATCAATGCTTTCCTCTTTCAGGAACTGCTGACACACTCCAGCCACATGAGGTCTAGCATTGTCTTGCATTAGGAGGAACCCAGGGCCAACCGCACCAGCATATGGTCTCACAAGGGGTCTGAGGATCTCATCTCGGTACCTAATGGCAGTCAGGCTACCTCTGGTGAGCACATGGAGGGCTGTGCGGCCCCCCAAAGAAATGCCACCCCACACCATGACTGACCCACCGCCAAACCGGTCATGCTGGAGGATGTTGCAGGCAGCATAACGTTCTCCACGGCATCTCCAGACTCTGTCACGTCTGTCACATGTGCTCAGTGTGAACCTGCTTTCATCTGTGAAGAGCACAGGGCGCCAGTGGCGAATTTGCCAATCTTGGTGTTCCCTGGCAAATGCCAAACGTCCTGCACGGTGTTGGGCTGTAAGCACAACCCCCACCTGTGGACGTCGGGCCCTCATACCACCCTCATGGAGTCTGTTTCTGACCGTTTGAGCAGACACATGCACATTTGTGGCCTGCTGGAGGTCATTTTGCAGGGCTCTGGCAGTGGTCCTCCTGCTCCTCCTTGCACAAAGGCGGAGGTAGCAGTCCTGCAGCTGGGTTGTTGCCCTCCTACGGCCTCCTCCACGTCTCCTGATGTACTGGCCTGTCTCCTGGTAGCGCCTCCATGCTCTGGACACTACACTGACAGACACAGCAAACCTTCTTGCCACAGCTCGCATTGATGTGCCATCCTGGATGAGCTGCACTACCTGAGCCACTTGTGTGGGTTGTAGACTCCTTCTCATGCTACCACTAGAGTGAAAGCACCGCCAGCATTCAAAAGTGACCAAAACATTAGCCAGGAAGCATAGGAACTGAGAAGTGGTCTGTGGTCACCACCTGCAAAACCAGTCCTTTATTGGGGGTGTCTTGCTAATTGCCTATAATTTCCACCTGTTGTCTATTCCATTTGCACAATAGCATGTGAAATTTATTGTCAATCAGTGTTGCTTCCTAAGTTGACAGTTTGATTTCACAGAAGTGTGATTGACTTGGAGTTACATTGTATTGTTTAAGTGTTCCCTTCATTTTTTTGAGCAGTGTATATATACAGTGGGGGAAAAAAGTATTTAGTCAGCCACCAATTGTGCAAGTTCTCCCACTTAAAAAGATGAGAGAGGCCTGTAATTTTCATCATAGGTACACGTCAACTATGACAGACAAATTGAGGAAAAAAATCCAGAAAATCACATTGTAGGATTTTTAATGAATTTATTTGCAAATTATGGTGGAAAATAAGTATTTGGTCACCTAAAAACAAGCAAGATTTCTGGCTCTCACAGGCCTGTAACTTATTGTTTAAGAGGCTCCTCTGTCCTCCACTCGTTACCTGTATTAATGGCACCTGTTTGAACTTGTTATCAGTATAAAAGACACCTGTCCACAACCTCAAAAAGTCACACTCCAAACTCCACTATGGCCAAGACCAAAGAGCTGTCAAAGGACACCAGAAACAAAATTGTAGACCTGCACCAGGCTGGGAAGACTGAATCTGCAATAGGTAAGCAGCTTGGTTTGAAGAAATCAACTGTGGGAGCAATTATTAGGAAATGGAAGACATACAAGACCACTGATAATCTCCCTCGATCTGGGGCTCCACGCAAGATCTCACCCCGTGGGGTCAAAATGATCACAAGAACGGTGAGCAAAAATCCCAGAACCACACGGGGGGACCTAGTGAATGACCTGCAGAGAGCTGGTACCAAAGTAACAAAGCCTACCATCAGTAACACACTACGCCGCCAGGGACTCAAATCCTGCAGTGCGAGACGTGTCCCCCTGCTTAAGCCAGTACATGTCCAGGCCCGTCTGAAGTTTGCTAGAGTGCATTTGGATGATCCAGAAGAGGATTGGGAGAATGTTATATGGTCAGATGAAACCAAAATATAACTTTTTGGTAAAAACTCAACTCGTCGTGTTTGGAGGACAAAGAATGCTGAGTTGCATCCAAAGAACATCATACCTACTGTGAAGCATGGGGGTGGAAACAACATGCTTTGGGGCTGTTTTTCTGCAAAGGGACCAGGACAACTGATCCGTGTAAAGGAAAGAATGAATGGGGCCATGTATCGTGAGATTTTGAGTGAAAACCTCCTTCCATCAGCAAGGGCATTGAAGATGAAACGTGGCTGGGTCTTTCAGCATGACAATGATCCCAAACACACCGCCCGGGCAACGAAGGAGTGGCTTCGTAAGAAGCATTTCAAGGTCCTGAAGTGGCCTAGCCAGTCTCCAGATCTCAACCCCATAGAAAATCTTTGGAGGGAGTTGAAAGTCCGTGTTGCCCAGCGACAGCCCCAAAACATCACTGCTCTAGAGGAGATCTGCATGGAGGAATGGGCCAAAATACCAGCAACAGTGTGTGAAAACCTTGTGAAGACTTACAGAAAACGTTTGACCTGTGTCATTGCCAACAAAGGGTATATAACAAAGTATTGAGAAACTTTTGTTATTGACCAAATACTTATTTTCCACCATAATTTGCAAATAAATGCATAAAAATCCTACAATGTGATTTTCTGGATTTTTTTTTCTAATTTTGTCTGTCATAGTTGACGTGTACCTATGATGAAAATTACAGGCCTCTCTCATCTTTTTAAGTGGGAGAACTTGCACAATTGGTGGCTGACTAAATACTTTTTTTCCCCACTGTACATACACATACATACAGTTGAAGTCGGAAGTTTACATAAACCTTAGCCAAGTACATTTAAACTAAGTTTTTCACAATTCCTGACATTTAATCCTAGTAAAAATACCCTGTCTTAGGTCAGTTAGGATCACCACTTTTAAGAATGTGAAATGTTAGAATAATAGTAGAGAGACTGATTTATTTCAAGTTTTATTTCTTTCATCACATTCCCAGTGGGTCAGAAGTTTACATACACTCAATTAGTATTTGGTAGCATTGCCTTTAAATTGTTTAACTTGGGTCAAACGTTTCGGGTAGCCTTCCACAAGCTTCCCACAATAAGTTGGGTGAATTTTGGCCCATTCCTCCTGACAGAGCTGGTGTAACTGAGTCAGGTTTGTAGGCGTCCTTGCTCGCACACGCTTTTTCAGTTCTGCCCACATATTTTCTATAGGATTGAGGTCAGGGCTTTGTGATGGCCATTCCAATACCTTGGCTTTGTTGTCCTTAAGCCATTTTGCCACAACTTTGGAAGTATGCTTGGGGTCATTGTCCATTTGGAAGACTATTTGCGACCAAGCTTTAACTTCCTGACTGATGTCTTGAGATGTTGCTTCAATATATCCACATCATTTTCCTTCCTCATGATGCCATCTATTTTGTGAAGTGCACCAGTCCCTCTTGCAGCAAAGCACCCCCATAGCATGATGCTGCCACCCCCGTGCTTCACGGTTGGGATGGTGTTCTTCGGCTTGCAAGCGTTCCCCTTTTTCCTCCAAACATAACGATGGTCATTATGGCCAAACAGTTCGATT